AAATAATTAATCATTTGATACAATCAGCACTTTATGATCAATTCAGCTGTCATCAACCAAAAATGCAGATATGACTTATGGATTTGATCAAGGCTACATTGATTTGAATACATATAAAGTTTTAAACAGTATGTTGACATTCCTTCCTGAGCTAACTAAGGATTTGCATGCCATCATACTGTAAATGGACTTGCCAATTTGCCCAGCTTTTTTGCTTAGAAAATGTCAAGCAGGTGCATTATGTAAAGCGAAAACCAGATCATCTACTTGACTAAAGTTAGCAATGCCACAGGGTAGAAACACTCTGCTACTACTACTACTACTACTACTACTACTACTGATAAAAACAGGAAAAGTAATACATTGATTATAAGTATTGATCCATTCATTTTACAGTATCATTGCAATACTTTATTATTTAAATAATGTTGAACATCTTTCCATACAGTTTAGTTTTGGCTTCCTAAATGAAGTAGCCTAGAGTTGAAGAATCTCCAAATGTAATAAGTTACTTTCCACGACTGGGGTAACCCACTTTCCTTTTGAATGGTTTCATGTATACTGTAGAAACCAAAATCCTTTATTTTGAAAACAAAACATACAATTCTGGTGGTTTCACATGACCCTTGACAATAACCACTGACGGGAAGTTTTTCACATTTTGTGCTAAATGTAAAGGGGTTAAAGTAGGGAAGTTCACAGTTCTTTGTTCAAGTTACTGAGTAATGCACTAAAGTATTTTTTAAAACTTTGTCATCATGATGTATCTCTGCCATTCAGATCGAGGCTTTGACATCACATTCAAGACGGCTGACGATCCCTCCCTATCTCTCATCAAATACGGCCAGTTCCTGTACGACCATTTAGTCATCTTCTCACCATCAGTTGAGGGTAAGTCTAACACTCTTCAGTTAAAATCATGTTAACACACTTATGTCTGACTTGTTGATTTGATAAAAGAATCACGTTTTGATCTTCGGCAGACTTTGGAGGAAACATAAACGTGGAGACTATCACATCCTTCATTGATGGTGGAGGCAATGTCCTGGTTGCTGCAAACTCAGATATTGGTGAGTAAATTCCCAACACCTTTTTTGTAATATTAGAAAAAACACCATATTATTGCATATACTGAATTGATGGTCTTCTCCTGTTTACAGGTGACCCTCTGAGGGAGCTGGGCAGCGAGTGTGGCGTCGAGTTTGATGAAGAAAAGACCGCCGTCATCGACCATCACAACTACGACGTGTCTGACGCTGGAGAGGTAAACAGAGTTCTGATCAGACAGAAGGCTCCTTCACTTTTTTTCTCACATCAAGCCTTTAGATTTCCATGTCTGTGTGTTTATTTACAAGTGATCCTTCTCTTCTCCAGCACACCCTGATTGTCGCTGACCCAGAGCACCTGATGAAAGCTCAAACTATTGTTGGTACACCCACCAACAAACCAGTTCTATTCAAGGGTGTCGGGTAAGCACAGAAGCTCATGATTTAAATGTTGATAACTAAGTATTGAAAGTATGATAAAGCAATTCTCCACTCTAACATTTAGTATGTTGACCCCATTGATATTCTGAGACATTCACTCTTTTACTTGTTTACACAATTTAAATAATTGCTTTATATAGCTAAGACGCTATAGGAAAAAAATAAGGATAATGCATCATGCATCGGTCCGTTTTGGGAGTTTGGGCTAGTTTTTTTTTCATGCCATGTCTTTATTCAGACTAGTAGAAAGAAAAAAAACTAATAATTTAGACGATTGTTTTTTACCACAATTCGTTTTTCCTTAAATTCAACAAAAGTTTGCATTAGATAAAGCCCCATTTGTATAGTAAAAGGCAACATCTCTGAAAAACTTGTCATACCAAAAATAATTGTTTAAATGTAAATTATTAACTGGGAAAGTTTTAGACTTTTGAAGAAAGAGATGGTGTGTTGCAGCTTTATATTAATATTAAAAGATTAACAGCAAATGCAAGCCATATAAAGTCAAACATGCACCCCCCCCCCCCCCCTTGCAGCATGGTGGCAGACCCAGAGAACCCTCTTGTCCTGGACATCCTGACCGGCTCCTCCACTGCCTACTCCTTTTTCCCAGACAGACCAATCTCTCAGGTAAGATGACTGAACATAACAGTTATGTTGGATTCTCAATTTATAAAGAACTGTATCATTGTGTTTATATACCCTACTATTTCCTCATGTATGCACATGCACATCTCTTTCTGTGGAGTCTCAGAAACCATGGATAATTGTTTTTATTTAGAAACAAATTCACAAGATGTAACATGATTTTATGGAATTTAACTTCTCCAGTACCCCCATGCTGTTGGCAAGAACACCCTCATGATCGCCGGCCTTCAGGCCAGAAACAATGCCCGAGTGGTTTTCAGCGGCTCCCTGGATTTCTTCAGTGACGCCTTCTTCAACTCTGCAGTGCAGAAAGCCACGCCCGGCTACCCAAGGTAAGACTTACTGATCATAATTGCTAATACAGCTTCTATCACAATTACCTCCATGAGGTTCTGACCCTTGACCTGATCAATTCTACTGTAAATGATGCAAAGAAACATGCTGCATCCCATCCAAGGGGGATCGACTCTGACTGGTTACATTGTTATTTAATGAAGAAATAGATATTGTCCAATTATCAATTTTTAAAGTTCTTGTGGTGTTTGTTAGGCATGAGCAGACAGGGAACATGGAGCTGGCCGAGGCTCTGTCTCGCTGGGTGTTCAAGGAGGCCGGAGTCCTCAGGGTGGGAGCTGTCGCCCACCACACCGTTGGAGAGGTCTCTCCTCCTGCAGCGTACACAATCACTGACCTTGTGGTGAGTTTATGTGAACAATCATCTCCGGAAGATGTTTTTTTATTTGAGCCTGAAAGAAAGTGTGTGTATTCTCGACGTGTTTATCTCATTGAAGTGCAAAACTTTCCCACGCAGGAGTACACCATCGTCATCGAGATGTTGTCCCAGGGCCGCTGGGTTCCCTTCAACGGAGATGATATTCAGCTGGAGTTTGTGAGGATCGATCCCTTCGTCAGGACTTATCTCAAGAGAAAGGGTATGTTGCTGTTCTTATGAATATATGGGTTAGCAGCTTATGTACATTTGCAGTCACCAATTGTATTCATTCTTTGTCGTCTTTCCTTTAGGAGATAAATACAGTGTCCAGTTCAAGCTGCCCGATGTGTACGGAGTCTTCCAGTTCAAGGTCGACTACAACAGACTGGGATTCACACACCTCTACTCCACCACTCAGGCAAGTTAATCAGAAGCTTTCTTCCACTTAAGTCTACTTAAATCAAAATGCTGGTATGGTTGAGGGAAGTGGCAAATGGGCTAAAATACCAGAGAGTTAATCATTTATAGTTCCTCTTTCTTATATTGCATTAACAACCTTGCTCTAATGTACGGCGGCTTAATGTCTATCTTTTTTCGTATCGCAGGTTTCCGTGCGTCCCCTGCAGCACACTCAGTACGAGCGCTTCATCCCCTCAGCCTACCCATACTACGCCAGCGTGTTCTCCATGATGGGCGGACTCTTTATCTTCAGCATAGTGTTCCTGCACATGAAAGAGAAGGAGAAGTCAGACTAATGCAGAGAGACAACGGTGAAGGGATAACGAGATTATAGAAAACATGTGGTGTGAAGAGCTGAAATTGAATGTCTTGAATCTTCACGCCAGGACTTGGACAGCAGTCCTCCGAAAAAATACAGTTTCTGTTCGGTTATTGGGTCATTCAACAAATCTGGGGCTTAAAGCCGAAAGGGGTTACTGTAATGCAGTGGTTGGTTTTTTTTCTTTTTTTTTGTACTCTGAAATCACTCAAAGCCTGATAAATGTACTGAAGTCAGTCAGCGTTTGTATTAAGTTGCTTTACATTTGATAAAATGCTCTCCTAAGTAAAGCACTTGCCCTGGAACATTGAAAGGAATCCATATCTAAATTTGACCCACATGTTCTCAGTCAGGGAAGTTTATTGTGGTAACTACATGCACTGAATATGCCAACTGCTAATTTGTTTTTTGATAAGTGTTTCCAAAAACGTCATCTTAACAATAAAATATTGACATTCCACTAAATACAAATTCCTGTCCTTTCTGTGACGTGACATAAGTGTACTTTCATTTCAACACGGCATGAGTATATGCTTTCTTTACCTACTTGATGGTATTTTACTTCATAATGCTATATGCTATGACTGACATAGTGTTGTTGGTTGGCATGATAATCTTGGTATGGAGAGTATTCATGCCAAACTCAAAATATGGTCATTCAAATCTTCAGATGCTTTGCAAAAGGGAAATGTGCTTTATTTAAGGCCTGTTTCCATCTAATTCAGTAGCGGTAATAGTTACAGTAGATATCAATAATTACTTTTTAAATAATGAGAATTCCAAGCCAACCCTTCCATAATGTCATTTTGAAAAGTAACAATTCTAATTAAACATATCTACAATTAATTCCTCACTAGTCAAAGTGTAAATTCCTTATCAATGATTAATTTATTTGTAGTGTCAATGGTCATTGTAGATATCAGGAACTTAATTAAAGTTACTCAACTTTTATCATTGATTTCTATTCAAAATGAATTACAGATGTTTAAAGTTCAACTTTGAAGTGTTACAAGCCATATCAATAATGTAAGACTGGTTGCAATTTTAGATAATGATGTACATTACTTTGTAGTGACACCCTGAAGTGACAATGAAAAGTGACATTTGTATAAACATGCTTTAGCTACTTTCACCTTCTGAATGAATGACAGGGTGAACCAATTATAATTGTATTTATTTATAATAAGTTAAAACCGGCAGTATGCACCCTAGCCGATTTGAGGAGCAAGTTCTGACGATTAAAAATCCAGTCATATTATTAATATTTGTGTTTTTGCACAAATCCAACTTTAAAGTAGTCAGTTTTGAATGCTGTTCAATCTGTACGTATTGAGGCTAATAGTGACGTAATGTTCTGACAGTGGGAGTTCAGCCTGAGAACAGTTAGGTCAGTAGCACAAAAAGTAACCCTAGCATCCGTGACTTTGATGTAATTACCTTGCTTTAATAGAGAAATTCGCGAAAAATGTAACTTAAATTAATTCACAATAGCTTACACAGTGAAAAACGGAGAATAAGATAATTACATTTCCTGCTAAAAGTCCATGTTTGGGCTCTAAAATTTGCTAGCCACCCCCACCTTGAGTCCAGCGTTGAAAAAAAGTCAAGTGGCTAACTCTTAAGCTAACGCGAAGCTAGGCAAACATTACTTGGCTAACCGGACGCGTTGACAGTGTTTTGCTTGTCAAGTACTTCACATTAACATCATTAATGTGAACTACCGACACTGTCAAACTGAATGTGTAAACGTGACACACCGAGCTGTGTCGTTACCTTAGCAGCCAACAGCATTGAAGGTAAAGAAAATGTTAGCTAGCTAGCTAATAAGACGGCGGCATTAGCTTTAGCATAACATAGCTGCGCTTGGGAGTCAGCTGACAGCCTGCTGTAAGCTGCCAGCAGACCAGTGATGGATCAACTGAAAGTAAAGGATCGCATATTGGAAAACATATCCCTGTCTGTGAAGAAGGTAAGCGTTGTCCGTTTGGTCAGTACATTTAAACATTGTCAGAGAATTACATTATTTACATTAGGTCATCTTTTGTCTGCCCAACTTTAAGTCGTTGGGACCAGCTCCCTGTTAATGGAGGGCCTTTACCTTATTGATATAATACAGTATCGAATGTTCAATTCAACCTTAAAGGGTTGTCATGCTGTTCTAGTTTTCCCTCTTGACCATTGGGAACAATAGTGGCATCTAGCCCTTGTGTTTGCTAACTGCGGCATGTGTTGTAAACACACCTGCAACTAGCAGGAAGATATTTGCTTCTATTTTCCATTGAAGTTTGAAAACATTATACATTTTCTTTCCCCAGCTATGCCTGAAACTACCTGTCTCATAACCTGATAGGCAACATTGTATTGTCTTCCTGCTCTCCCTGTAATGTTGTAGATTTAAAACTATGTGCTTTTTAGTTTTGCATTGTCTTTCTTTAACTCAGTTCTAGTACACCAGTGTTTAATGCAATGCGTCCAGTACTTTGACCTACTTCCTCAACTCCTATTTGTCTAACACATTATTATTTGGTTACACAAGGATTCAAGGATCGTTTATTGTCATTCTGCAACTACGGGTTGACCAAAAAATAATGCAGATGTAGGGTATTTACAAAACAGGAACAGTGGCGCAGCAAAGTATCTCTTGTACTGCATAACGACCGTGAAAGTAGTGCAAATGGTATGTCTCAAGCTCCCAGGAAAGTGTTACCTCGACAAACATTGCTCTGTCACGTGGAGATAGTCACAAGATATAAATTGTCTTTCTTCGGGGGCACAATCCTCAAAGCTATTCTGACCTATACTTGGGTGCATGCCTCTGGGTTTCCGCAGGAAGAGGGTGACCATGAAAACACACTTAGCATCGCATGAAGTGTGACCTTTTGTTGTTGCTTTTCCTCCAGCACATTGGATTTAATATCAAACATGTTTTAAAGTGCTGAACCGTAGATACATTGACCCAAAACCTCCTTTAGTCTCAGCCCGGCTTAAGTTGGATTTAGGTCAGAGACATTCCCAATACTTGGCACAACATTCTTGGTTGCTTTAAGGGCACTGTAGGATTATAAGGTCCCGAAGCACGTCATTAACCATGGAACATGTAGAAACATGCTACAGTTCCTACATTGTTCATCCCACATTGAAGTGAACACCGTGTCTTATCGCACTGAAGATATTTATTTTCGATAAATCCAATCTGCAGGAGTTCAGAGACAAAAGTCAAAAATGCCTTATTATATTAGTTTACAAATGCATTACATCCAACACATCACTTTATTGTTTGGCTTGTTTGCATTAAAGCAATTTCTTGATTTAGTAATTGCCAGTTTTCCATGTTTTTGAATGTTTTTTACCTACATCATCATCCTCATCATCCTCATCATCCTCATCATCATCATGCCGAGTTGGCTCGTTTTTTCATTCCCAGCTGGTTTTGGTTATATGCATAATGAATGATACAAATATTCCTATCGAGAGCCATGCCCCAAAGCAATAATAAAACGTTATAGTCATTTCATGTTGTGATAACTTAAACCATGTCTCTGTACAGTTGCAGAGTTACTTTGCGGCCTGTGAAGATGAGACCCCAGCTATCCGGAATCACGACCGGGTCCTTCAGCGTCTCTGTGAACACCTGGACCATGCTCTGCTGTACGGGTAAGAGGCCAACCGCACATCAGTTACACGCTGGAAAGAGATGAGGCGCATTCTGTAAATCAGTCTTCAGTTATGGATCCTGCTCATGTCCCTCTATCTGAACCGTCACAATTTGTTCTACCTTTTAGACCCATGCTTTTCAACTTACAGTTTGGTTCAATTATTGATCTAGGTGTGGATCATTCAGAGTATATAGGGACAGAACGCAACACCACACTATAGGGGAAACAATAAGCCGCAAGTTATGCAACCAAGACCTGATATGCGTACAACATGCCTGAAGCATGTCAGCAATGGAAATAGATAGATATATACTTTATTAATCCCAAATTGGGAAATGATTTCAAATATGTTGATAAATAAATGATGATGGGACAAGCTAAATGTCTAATATTGTTGGATACGGCACTCTCAAACATGAAATTACATATGTGTTACATACTCTCAAAATGCTTTAGCTTAATTTACAGGACAATATTTAGCCTAAAGCTGACATGTGGACAAAATGCAAAGTGTCAGTAAGCCACAGTTTTCCCAATTCACCGACTAATGCTTCATTTTTGTCTTCTTAATGGCTCACTTTTTCCGATCTGCAGCCTAAAAGCTAAAAGATGGGTTCTTTATCCTGTTGGTAGTGCAGCACAGTGAAGCTATTAGGCATGGTGTTGTTGTTTGCTGGCAGACGAATGTGACAAGAAGGCACCGTCACGTAATACAAAGGAAATTCAGAGTGATGAATTGTTTTCCACTTCAGTGTGTGCAGGACTTAATTGCATTGCACTCTGTCTCTGTTACATTTCTGTGAATATGTATCTCTTGTGCCATCACTCTACTCAGCTTTCCCCTTTTGACATCGTGCATGTGATATTATGGTCTGTTGTTCTACATCACAGCCTGCAGGACATCTCCTCAGGCTACTGGGTCCTGGTCCTTCACTTCAGCAGGAAAGAGGCTGTCCGTCAGATAGATGAGCTCCAGCACATAGCGACCAACCTCGGCCGAAGTAAGACATCTCTGAAGCTCAATGGAACACTCGCATGTACAGAACATTGGGGGGTAAGATTGGGTTGAATCTTTCAAACAACTTGTTTTCTTTGTGCAGGCCGTGCATGGTTATACCTTGCATTGAGTGAGAGCTCTTTGGAGAGTTATCTACGCCTCTTCCAGGAGAACCAAGCATTACTGCAGAAGTATTATTTCAAGTAAGTCATTCAGAAATCCTGATGTTGATGATGAGGAATTGTTCAAATTGTTCCATGTAATAAGTGGAAGTTATATTGAATTTTAGGGATAACATTCTGTGGTTGTTAGATAAGTTAATAATTACAAAACATTTGTGTTGTAGGCGAGGCAATTGAAAACGCTTGAAAAACAATTGAATACATAACAAAATGTTCATGAAAAGCCAAGAGAAGAGACCTAATATCAAGCTTAAACATAAGACCGGGATACAAAATAAAAGCTGCCATGCTGTGTTATATATATTGGTATTTGATTTATTAGGCAACAGAAAAGTCTTACCCTGATTTATAAGAGGTGAGCGTTGCAGTTTTCAGATGTATGAAGCATACAAACTAAACGCTGCCTCTCCATGTTGACTTTGACTCTGGGGATAGAAAGCAGACTTATTTGTAAATGTCTTCTCTTCTCTGCTAGGAATGCATTAGTCTGCAGCCATGACCACCTCACACTCTTCCTCACGCTGGTGTCCGGCCTGGAGTTCATCCGCTTTGACCTGGAGCTGGTCAGCATACAGTATAATCAATGAGAATAGAAATAGAAATGCAGATCCTACCAGCGTGTTTGTAACCTTTCTGTTTGGTGCTGCTACAGGATGTGCCCTATCTGGACGTGGCCCCCTACATGCCAGAATACTACAAACCCCATAACCTGCTGGACTTTGAGGAGCGGCTGCCCAGCTCCGACAGCCTGTCCCTGCACTCCTTCACCTCCCTCACCTCCACCAACCTGGAGTGGGACGACAGCGCCATAGCCCCCTCCAGTGAAGGTAAGCAGTAGGGGGCTCCAGAACCACGTTTTGTTAGCCCTGATGCCAATCAGAGTTTCTTAGCAATACATAGAGTCTGATCTGATCATATTTACCTAAATGTGATTAAATATGTATCCAATCAATCAATCAATCAATCAATCAATCAATCAATCCATCAATGTTTATTTATATAGCCCAATATCACAAATGTTATATCCAACACTTTGAAATCACTGTTGTAGCCTTCTAAATTTGTATCAATGTATTTTAACAATCGTTTCATCCAAATAGTGAAGGGCCTGATTCAGATGTTGATCAGTTTGAACTAGGGCTGCTCAATTTATCGTATTTGAATCGCAATTACGATTTTGGCTTGCAACGATTATGAAAACAACATAATCGAAATAAAACGATGATTTTTATTTCTTTTTATTTATTGGTTTTTCAGTTGAATTCTACTCAAAGTTCAGGGTAATCAACTGTTAAAAACATACTGTTCAACTTTTTCTTTTTCAATAAATGGATGTTTTCAAACTAATTGGATAATCGTTTTTAATAATCGTGATATCAATTATTGACCCAAATAATGGAGATTATGATTTTTGCCATAATCGAGCAGCTCTAGTTTGAATGATCAATATGGTGTGAATAAAACTTTCAAAATGACGTGACACAAATCAGCCAAAGAGAAGAGGCATCACTCTTGCCAGTGCACTAAATGTTGCGTAGCGGTGGTACAGTGTGATCTATCCACACAACCCGGAAAACAGCCACGTTTATTTTTCCATCTCTCATAAAGTTACACTGGAATTCATTTTGAATCAGGGACAGATGATATGCCCTGGCGTCTGTGACATTTCCAGCTAAAATGAGAAGCTGCCAACACAATGTTTTGAACTAGAAAATACAACTAGCATGCTCAGGGGGGCAACACCCTGTAAATGGCATGTTGAAGCAGAAGTTGGATTCATCTTTGCAGACACTAGTGACTAAAGGAAACCAAAGAGCTTTCTTATCAGATGCATCACCCACGTGCAGAGCTACAGGATGTCCTCATTGGGCGTGATTGCAGCACTCACCCAATGCTTTCCCCATCACTCTCCACAAAGCACAGTCAGTTCCCTGCTTGAGATGTAGTTCCCTTCCTACTTTGTTGTTTGTTTTTCATCACTTCTGTTATTCCATATAACCATATATCATGTTATTGTTGTTTGACTATTTCTGTACCATTGTCTCTCCATCTCCTCTCCTGTCTCCACTACATCTCTCTCTAATGATATCAATGTTATCCTTCCTTTTTTTTTAGATTATGATTTCGGTGACATCTTCCCTGTGCTGCAGTCATTGCCAAGTGCAGACTGGGAAGGTGGGACATTGGTCAACCACTCCCCTTACTCCCATTTGACCCCTCCCTCCCTTTTATCTGGCATGGCCATCCTGCAGTTTGTGCTTAAAGCATGCTTGGTACTCTAGCAGAAATAAGACTAATATGTAGTGTAGCTAGCTAGTGCAAAAGACTGCTGTAAAATCTATATACATTTTAAGCTTTCACAGTTAGATCAACATAAAGTGAAATGAAAGAAAGGTGACATCATGCATAATAATACTTTGACTGGTAAGTTTGGGAACGGGTGTTGTGGGAACTTGTATGTGTCCTGTTCTGCATGTGTTACTCATCTGAGGAATGATCCTAACGCTGACTCTGCATTATTATTTACCACAGCAACATAAACGCCTGCCTGGTTTCTGCCTGGTGCTCACCTCGTCCAGTCTGTCTCCATGACACTGTGTTATCTGTTTGTCTGGTGTATCGTTTTTATGTAAAGTCTTCTCTTCCTATGTGTATCTGGCACTGGCCTAAATTAAGCTCCACTGCTGTGAGAGGGGACATTTAAGAAATCTGCATAAGCTCACAATGTGAGTGCACAATCCTTGTTATAACTTCAACATCTGCTTGTAATAAGTGTTATTCAATGAACACACACCTGTCTATTAAAGTATTAAGTGTGAATTATTGGTGGATAAACATTTTATGCAATTGGAGTATCTTCAAATTTGGTCAATTCCATAGCTGGATCAGTGAACTCACGTTGAATCAAAAGTGCTGATTACTGCAAAAATATTTTATTTGAATATCTGTATGACCCATCTCTAGCTGCAGTAAGTAATGCTTAACCTAGGCCTGTGCCACTGCAAAAGCTGCTACTTAACCCACTCGAGGTCTTCTGCAATGCGTTTGTGCCTCTGACCCTGCCAAAGAACTGCAGTGAAGGACGCTGCAGCCCCTGACATGTGTTTGTCTGTGACGCTGAGGAAGAAATACACAAAGGTTTTCCAAATAATCTTGTTGGTTATCACCATTGGTGGTAAAAGCATATACAGCAATTCATATCATTCATAATAGAAACAATCCTAATCCTATATTACTTATTAACATTATCAAGTTACCAACAAGACAACGCCAACACCTCTGTGTATATCTCCTCGAACTACATGTGGGTGACTGTTCCTTTAAGTCTTTGTGTTACTTTTCAGAGGGCGACCTGACGGACCAGGCCAGCTGCCCGCGCTCCAGCGGCTCCGACCCGCAGACGGTCATCAGCGACACCGTGGTCCTCTCTTCCGGCGCTCTGAGGATGAAGGTAACATCTCATCTAGCTCCTCACAGCCCCACCTTCAGACACAACCCCTTCAACGAGGACTCGGACACCAACACCTCGGCCGACGTCACGCCAGTGCACGTGGCCAGCAGACACAACTCCTTCACAGCTGGAGAGGACACAGAGGGCACCGGCAACGAGCTGGAGGTCATCAGGTACAGAAGCCTCAGCTTTAGTTGTTGTGTCCAGACACAACACACCTTAAGTTTTCTTAATGTTTTCTTAGTTGAGGGCGCAGAATCCCTTAAAGGGGTCCTATTGTGCTTATTTTCAGGTTCATCTTTGTGCCTCTACTGTTACATGTTTTAATGTTCAAAAAGGTTTTAGTTTTTTTTGTGATGTCACTATGTAACGGAAGTAAATAAAGGAGTCCAATGGAGGCGTTTCAGTCGGGGGGGATTCTGTGGGAGAGAAACTCCCTCTGGAGGGAACTTTGGGATTTGAACCTTTGCAGACCATTCACATGCACAAAAACCTATAGAACACAATACAGGAAAGGGACAACCCCAAAAAGCATAATAGGGCCCCTTTAATGCATTAACCTTTACTGCTTTGTAACATTTTGTGATGGTAAAATCCTACAGTTTCCATGGAGACCGTTTGCTTGAACTAGCGCTCTTGTTGCTTGTTATCTTCCCACAAAGTTGGGCTATAGATAGTAAGAAAATCTTAAATACTTAAGTGAACTTTTTAAGGAAAACACTCATAATTTAAGGAAACCTTAACACAAAGTAACATCTTAACATAAGGTGTTTTGTGCATCTGGTCCATGGCTTGTAGTCTATATACAGTTAATACGTTTGTATCACAACGAGGAAACCACAGCTAACCACTCTGATCTTCCAGGATGGCCAGGCGGAAGAAACCAGCCAAGAAGCGTCGAGGGAGGGGCTCCACAGATTCTCTCAGCAGCATCCACAACTCTGTATCCTCTGAGCACATGGAACTGGACCACCACCATCTGCCCTCAGAGGATGTGGAGTCACTAAACGGGACCCTGATTCAGCTGGATGCTGAGGCGGAGATGAGGAGAAGTAGGGTGGGATCAGAGGTTGTGGAGGAAGGAACGGAAGGCCTCCTACGGCTCCCGGAGATGACGGACACCTCCATGGACACCGTGGGTCAGCCCCTGCGTGATGTCATGGACCGGATAAACGGCACTCTGGATAGGGAGGATGTGTGGGAGCATCGAGAGGAGACAGAGAAGGAGAAAAGCAGTAAAGGCAGCGAGAGGGGCCCCAAACCTCCTTCCCAGCAGCCCTTTCGAGAGGCATCAGAGGGCGAGCCCCCCGACCCGGCCCGAGGAAAGACGCCTCGCTCCCCTCTGCCCACAAACCACCACTTCTTGCTTGCCTCTCCTGCGCCCGCAGACTTATGCTGCTTTACCGCTGACAGTCCAGGCTCTCCTCCCACGGGTGGTGGCCACCATGACCCTGCAGAGCATCATCAGCCGCAGAATCTTCCAGGTGGCCCTCAAGATGAAGCAGAGGCAGAAGGACAGGAGCCAGAGTTAAAGGCGGAAGAAGGTACAGAAGAAGAAGAAGAAGAAAACAACAAGAATACATGTAATGAGGAGGCAGAGAGTTCTCATCCTGCTGAGTTTAAGTAAGAAACTTCTACAAAATCCTACCTCACTTCTGGCTAACAGAGAACTCACAGCTTCTAGGTTTCTTTAGTTTTTCCCTTTCAATAACACTGAACCGTTTGCATCACTAGCTCACAAACCTGCAACTACTTTGCACACTTATCATTTTGTATTCTAAATGTATCTATATTTGTTTTAAGTCGTAGTAAATTGGTCTATATATAGAATATTCTAACCTATTATTATGTTATTGTAAGTCATTAAAAATGACTTATTTTGTGTCTAACATTATTCATATTTCAGGGTGGACAACAATCACCTGCTTCTTCTCATGATTCACGTGTTCAGGGAGAATGAGGAGCAGCTTTTCAAGGTGAAGGCAATCACAGTCGTTCTTTATTTGTTTTATAAAGAAGTTCCATCATTTGGAGGAAATTTGAATGTTTTCGGGTCATGGCTCAGCTCTAATATTAACATTGAGTGATAACAGTTAGAGAAGAGACCTGTTTAAGTCTTTTAAAAAAAGATGTGTGTCTTTGGCACGTCTTTGAGCCATTCTTGGTTTTGTAAAACTCATACATGTTACAAAATGGACACCGTGGTTTGGAGACCGTTGCTCAGTGGAAGTGTTGAAAGGCTCAGTTTGCTAACTGCCTTTTTTAACTGCTTCTACTCCGCTTGTAGTAACGTATCTTATTGCTATTTCGTTAGTAGTTTCAAATCCCCCATTTTTCACACGCTCAACTATTTATCTTAATTATCCTAATTAGGACGAATATTGATGTTGCTGACACTTAGTTTTTCTTTATGTTTTCAGATGTTGAGAATGAGCACAGGCCATATGGAGGGCGACCTGCAGCCCCTGTACCTGCTGCTGACTGACTGTTACATCTACCTGCTTAGGAAGGGTACACGGCTCAAAACAACAGCAAATATTGACTTTTGCACAAACACTTGAGTCCTTTTTTTACATACGTCCGGTTTCTATCTCTGACTTCCCTAACATTAATAGAATAAAGTTTTGATCGTGACTGTAAATCCCTGCCGATCTGAGAGTTTCAACCATTGCAAGGGTCCTATAACATCGACACAATGTTGAAGGAAGTGGACAACACATCTCAGTAATGTCATTTTGAATGGGAAAATAATTGCCATTACATATTCTCACTGGATGACTCTTGTTTTCCTCCACAGGAGCAGCAGAGAAGCCTTACACCGTAGAAGACGCCGTTTCTTACAATGAGATGGACTATCTTTCAGTAAGTATCCTTTTAAAGCTGCTTATACACACACTGTATAAGCAGTGCTGGTACCAAAAGTGGGTCCATCCAAACCAAATAAGGCATAACAAATCTTTTAAGGTTCCTTGACATTACCAAAGATGTATGAGTTAAAGAGACCTGTTATGCTTTTTGAGTTTTCTCCTTTCCTGTAGTGTGTTATAAAGGCTTTTGTGCATGTAAGCGTTTGTAAGCATGTCCCAGCAGAGGCACAACATATTCATATACTGCTCCACTAGCCCAAACTGTCACATCATGGTTGAACCTGCAGTCTACATGATCCTCAATGTGATCCATGTTAAGTTACAAGATTTGAACCGTGTAGACTTAATCATGACATGACAGCTGGGGTCGTGGAGCACAACGTTTTGTGTCTGATATCTTATTTGTAATGTTGTTTTACTTTAGGTGGGCCTTGACCAACAGACAGTGATGGTGGTTTGCAACAACAGAAGAAGGAAGTTCCTGTTGGACACAGCTGATGCTTCTCTGACTCTGTGAGTGAACCTGTATATCTCTTCACCTTTGTTTTTGTTTTTTGGCTCAATAAATGGTCTTATTTGCAAGCCGTAATGGTGTCAAAGAACCAGCATGCATACCTCTATCATCTCACATATGAGCCATACTAGACACTTTGGTGATTGTTAGTCTCTCCTCTGATCTCATCCAGTTCCTCTTCCTTCACTTACAGGTGTTTCTTATCCATTCTGAAGTCAGCCATGGTGAAGGGATGTCGTGAGCCTCCGTACCCCTCTGTGCTGACGGACGCTACCATGGAGAAACTGGCCCTCACTAAGTTTGTCTCCCAGGAATCTCACTGTGAGGTACAGACATGTTAAACTTTACAAACACTGCATTAGCTCTTCATTATAGCTCTGTTTTTCACAGAGAGAAAGCTGACAAAAATGCAGCAATTCAACTATTAATCATAAAATAAAATTACAGAGTTTTGACATAAAAGTAATTAGTTTTACTTGCTCAGAAAAGAAACGAGTTATCACAAGAAGTGTGTGCCAATGATCACACATGCACAACATCTTACAGGAATGCAATGCAGACTTTTTTCAATGTATCTCAATAATAACATTATATTGAAAATGAATCAAACATGTTGTTCACAGTGAGAAATACTTAAGTCTCTATAAGTCAATGTTCATATTTTACATAAAAAGAAGAACATTTTCTTCTTTTATTTAACAACCCCACTATTCTTTTGCAGACTCATAAAGAACATCTACTTATTTGTGTCTCCAGGCATATGAAGTGTCTATCCAGCTGTATTCCCTGGTCCACTGGGAGGATCCCATGGACATGACTCTGTCCCCCCAGGGTGGCCCACCATCTGCTGGATGGCCTGCCAGCACCAAAGAGGGGTCTCTGCAGTACCGCTCCGGAACCACCTACCTGGGCAAGGAGCTGTGGAAGAGCTGCTACCTCGTCCTCAGGTACAGGCAGCTCCTTTCAACTGCTATCAATGTATATATCAGCTAGGTTCAATACAACGTGTACGTTGGACATTGACCTTCCCTCATTGTATTAACAAGATGGGCTCACAAGAAGCATTCATGTCCAGGGTTAAAGACAAACGTTTTGATAGTTTGGAAAATGCTCAATTGTTTTCAAGGTCAGGAATATGCTTTATTTAAATGTTTACATTTTCTCAAAACATTATTAAGTGTGAAAATGTTTGATTTAATCATAATCTTGGTTATATCTACACAAGCATGTAAACCAAAAATATTCGGGAGATAAAATGTATATAAACAGCTAATAAAATAAAGAAATGAGCATTTATCAATGTGGGTGCAGTATGTGAAAAAGCACACGTCCCACCGTCCGGGACGTGTTATTTACAATATCGGACAAGTAGATCTTTCAATTGACTTGTCCGATGGACAAGTGACGTTTTTCGCCCTCATTTATTGACAAATTATTGATAAATTCAGCTTCCAAAAGGCAGAACTAATTAGCAAATTGTCCGTGTCCGCCATTGTTCGTTTAGAAATGTTAGTTTCGGTTCTGTTTGTCGATTCCTAAGTAAATGCATCTCGCCGCTTTCTGTACGGGGGCGGGGCGGGACGTGTAGCACAGTGGCAGGGTTGGGAAGCAAAACTCGGTTCCGAGTAAGAGTTGTGAGGACAGGAGGCGAGGCCGAGTCCCGCGGACTGCAGCTCTCTCTCCCTATGCTCCGTATCGTGTTGCCGTATCAGCTGATCACTGCACGGTGCAGTTCAGCGTCTCTCTCTCTCTCTCTCTCTCTCTCTCTCTCTTTCTACACACAGCGGATCCACTGCCCGTTTAACAGCCTCATCTTTGTCAAACTTTCTTATGTTCTTTCTCGAACACGTAATGAAGGTTATTAAGCGTTTTACCTCCTGTGTTGTTAATATTGACCGCCATTTCCTTTATGAATTAAATCAGCCTCCCTGTCTGTGTCCTCGCGCTGTCCTCACACCCCCGGACCCCCAGACTCGGAGGAGCACAGGGATGTCAGTATTGTTTATGAAGCAGGGTATAGAAAGTACATTTAATGAAATGAAAATATTATTTATTTACTTTTACAAACAGTGAGCAGCTGGGCAGCTGCAGCATGTGTATTGCAGGACATGTGTTGGACACACAGACTGTGTGGTTGGACTTTGTCTCACAGGCAGGTTGCATCGTAACATCAGAGGAGACTGCGCCAATTGTACATTCTCAAACTGCACCACTTACTGTAGAACTAACTAAACAATTATTTTTATATAATTGTGTTCAATAACCGTAACAAAATTAAACAGTATGAAGTGATTTGTAAATAGGAATACAGATTTGACTTAATGTTTTCATAAATATATTTTTCTCCCAGTTTGTCATGGGACTTATTTTTACCCTCTCAAAGAACCGGAATCGAAAAGCGTAACCGGAATCGTTAAAATCCAAACGATACCCAACCCTATGTGTGATGCAGTAAAATCTTACCGTAAAAAACGTGGGAAAATGTAAAATACGATGCCGATCGATTTTTCTGGACAAGTGAAAAATGTATTCGGACAAGTAAATTGCCAAACTCACTTGTCCATGGACAAGTACTCTCTAAAAACTTTTTCTTACACTGGGGTGTAAAGACATACTATGACATTTATTTTATTAAGGTAAATGTATGGTTAACTATTTTTCACTTCTGCTGAAGTGAAAAATGCCAACATATTTCCAGACAGACTTTTGTGTTTTGTGCGTTGAGCAAAACAGTCCTGCAGATTTCCTGCCAATCTGTCCAGAGGTACACAATGTATAGCACAACACGTAGAGGAGGCTGGCAGTAGTGCTGCCTATTGCTATAATAACAATGATATTTGAGTGGATTGTGACTGATCCTGGCATTCATCTATTAAAGCTTAGACCAGGGGTCACCAACCTTTTTTAGGATGAGGGCTACTTTCAAAAAATAAAACAAGTCGAGGGCTACTTTTACTCCTCTTTTTTTTGTTTTTTGCAGAGTATATATTTAGCACATTTTAACATTATGATATGCTTACCTTTTAACCTTTGTGTGCTGTTTGGGTCTGTGGGACCCGTTTTCAGTGTTTACTCAAATAACATGTATGCAATTTAATTATTTTAACCTGCTTTATTTGGGGGTGGGCCTCACATCCTCCAGGGGGGACCTCACATCCTCTAGGGGGGACCTCACATCCTCTAGGGGGGACCTCACATCCTCCAGGGGGGACCTCACATCCTCTAGGGGGGACCTCACATCCTCCAGGGGGGACCTCACATCCTCCAGGGGGGACCTCACATCCTCTAGGGGGGTCCTCACCTCCTCTAGGGGGGTCCTGGGGCATGCACCCCCGGGAAGATGTTTTTTTAAATGTTGAAGTGAAATGCATCAATCTGGTGCACTTTGAGCACAAAAGGAATTTATGGATACAGCTCTCAACACTCAGATGAAAGGGAGCTGTATACTTTTCAATGATCCAAACATCTTTAGAATATGATCACAACCAATAACAAATCATTCAAACTTGTGTATTCTTATCTTATGTTACCTAGTTAGCATTCTATCTTTTTCTTTATGCATATTTTACTGATCACTCTCCTTTTAAACTGTTTTTTGTACTGTCCTATAGTACACATTGGAATGATTTCTTACATTATATTAAATAGATAAAAGTGTGCTCTCCCTAGCTCCCTCTCTCTCTCTCTCTCGCTCTCTCTCTCCCTCCCTCCCTAGCTCCCTCGCTCTCTCTCTCTCTCTCCCTCTGTCTCGCTCGCTCACAGAGGCTGTGTGCTCCTCCATGGCGATGACGGCTTGCGTTAAAATAAATAAATAAACATATTTGTAAAGTGGGGGGACACAAACGGGATTTCGAAAAGTCCGGGGGACATGTCCCCAGTGGAGATTACGCCATGCGTGTGTGTGCGTCAAGTGCAATAAATAAATATGCAAGTTACAACCATAGGTTACAACCAGTCTATGGTTACAACAAGTTACACACAGAGTAAAACTCTGCCCCTCATGTGCTGTATAGGCTGGCATGACTAGGCTCTGTTCAAAGGAAAATCAGCGGGGAGGTGCCACATTGCTTTTCTTCCCGACTGCAACGTTGGTCCCGCAAATCAAGCAAGAACGTGAACGTGTCGATATTCATTGTGGGGGTGGGGGGAGGAGGGGTGTTAGATAGATATAGAGTTGTAGTAAGTAGATAGAGTTCGCTATGATTTAGGGTTCGTTTATGCGTAGGGTAGATTCTTTTAATTACATTTCCTTTTTTGTTTTGTGTATTTTATACATTTTGGATTTGCTTGGCGAGCTATTTTTAGAACATGCTTCGCGGGCGACTCACGTTGCCCCTGCGGGCGACTGAGTGCCCGCAGGCACCGTGTTAGCTACCCCTGGCTTAGATTGTATTATATCTATTAATAAAAACGTTATATTTATGTCATTTATGGTCTAGCTTCTGATCATACAAATAAATGCTCTATTTTCTTGCAGCAAAGGGAATCTGTACCTGTATGCAGAAAGAACTGATGTCACGCCTGTGCTGTCCGTCACTATGGGGTAAGAAGCACATAGCAGGAGGACAGTTTTTTACTAATAACACTTAAAGGAAGTAAACTCTCTGAGACATAGCTATTTACTGATATATTGTCTCGCAGAGGAGAGCACTGTGGAGGCTGCCGGCGCTCCAACAGCACGGAGCGGCCCCACGCCTTCCAGGTCATCCTGACGGAGCGCCCCCCGCTGGAGCTCAGCGCCAACAACGAGCAGGACATGTCCGAGTGGATGCTGCTGCTCTGCCAGTCCGTCTCCAAAGGGGTGAGGAGCATACAACATGTGTTTAGCCAGCACAGCTTTACTTTTCCAGTATTGCATGCATCACAATATGTTTTTATAGATGCAGGGGGAAAATGATGGAATGCTCATGTTCATAATGTGCAAGAAGCATCCATGGTTCAGCAAAATGTCAATAAAGATGTATTCAAGCCCTGTTTATATGCACATGATACAATTCAATGAAAGCCTCCTCCCCTGCAGGTCATCCCTCAGGGTGTGGCCCCCACTCCCTGTATCCCATGTTGCCTGGTGATGACAGACAGGAAGCTGCTCACCTGCCATCAGGACTGTCAGACCAGCTTCTTCCGCTCGCTGGGCAGCGCCGACATCTGTGATGTCACCGCTGTCAGCGTGGAGGCCGACAAGGAGTACTGCGTCATTGTGAGTGGCCATCGGCTCAAAATATATGGTTTTATATTAGACTTGTACTCATGTGTGATGCATATATGACGTACAGTTTTACCTTATCCGTTATTACGTTTTCAGGTTTAGGGTGTGCATGCTTATTGACATTTAAATATCTAATATGTCATGAATGTTAGTGATGTTTTGCAAATATGCATACATGCTGAACCAATGAAATTAATGATTTTTAAATGTTAAAAACAGAAGCTCCTCCTCCTTTTTCTATATATCTAAGAGGGCATGACTGATGAACAGACAGCACAACAATTGCACAGGTTTATTAGGGCTGTCCACAACAACAAATATACGTGGCCCTTGAATCCAATGATCTTGTGTTTCATTACCACATTTTCCTCCAACTGCGAAGAATAGACTGTGATTGGTATTTAAATCAGGTGAACTGTTGAATATCCAACTGCTTATAGTACTGATATTATTTCCTGTTGTTAGGACTTTTAATGTGAGTCTTCCCCATTTGTCCCTCTGTAGGAGTTTGCCTCAGATCGGACACAGTTCCTTCCTCCCTGGGTGTTGTACTTCAGCGGCTGTGAGGAGAGAGATCGCCTGATGGACGTGTTAAGCACCACATGGAAGGCCATTTTCCAGGTGAGAGGATAGACTAGTCATTCAAATCAGTAACGCTGCATTATTTACTGTCCAAAGAATATTTGTTTTTCAGATCTACTACTCTTACATTGTCTCTGGCTGTCCTTTTAGTTGAACCCTCACATATGTCCTCTCCACACACAGGTTGACCTCCCCCACAGAGAGGTGGTGGACCCCTCTGTGCAGAAGCGCTGCAGCGAGGCCCTCGTCCTGATGCACAGCGCCTGGCAGAGGGCAGACAGTCTGGCCCGAGGCAGAGCGCAGCGTGAACCCTGGTGCTGACAGACACACACTCACACACTCACCTGTGGGTCGCCACTGAGATATACTGATAAACGGTTTGCTATAGTAGCACGAAAAAATAGATTAAACTCTGGCAAACAGCCGCTGTAACCTGAGCTCAAAGCTAAAAAGATCAGACGTGGTTATTGGGCGTCGCACTGCAGCGTGAGCTTGTGATGCACCTCTGAGACACCGATCTCTATCAGAGAACTGCCTGCAGGAGTAGCAAGCATCCAGCAGATCACATCGCAGTGATGCAACAGCCACACATTCTTAATCTAAATGAAATGAACGAAGACTAATGGATGGATACAACCGATTTTATTTGATGCTCGTGACACATATTCCTTTATTAGAGGATATTAAGAAATAGCAGCAATGCAGAATAGCTAATGAAGGACAATATTGTGTCTCTGTATGGAAAAAGCTCATAGGATTTGGCCAGGGGTAATAACAGAAGGAACACAGATACAAGTCAAGTCTTAGACTTTATAAAGATAAAAGAAACATTTGACGAAGCAGTTACCAGCAGGTTCACTCCACAGAGAAATGTTTTCTCTTAATCTGGGATATATGTGGAGAAAGCCATATGTTAAGGGCTCAGTTGACTCCTATTTGCGACGTGGAAAAGTTCACACTCCATGCCTTGCAGACACACAGAAAAAACGCTTTCTTTTCGCACATAAATGTGTGTTTAGTGAGGGCCCGTGACCATACAGCGTCTTTTTAAAAAAATGGATCCAATGAGAACAGTGCATGATGTCGGAAGCGTATTTTTTCCGAGTGCTCTTCTGTCAAATGGAAACTATCATAAGTTTCATAAGAGACCGTAAAGCCCATTGGTTGGAGCAGAAACAAACATTGTGAACAAATATATAGTAGCACAAACGGATGATGAAATCCATGCTTGTCAGTCAACAGCTGCAACCCCTTTTTTGACATATCGTTGTCATAGAAACAATAAAAAAGCGCAGGGAGCGTTTTATTGTTGAAACGCTGGGAACGTCCGCTGCCAGCGATTTTCCGCAAGAAAAAGGCGCTATGGGGCACGTGCCCTACAAGATGTGCTACTAAAGTACAACATAGAGCAAAACACAGGCTGTGTAGCATCAACTCACTGATGGTTTCTAATACTCCGTTCTGGTTTGTCTGCGGGCACATACCTCTACACTGAATTATTGCCACATAAGCTCGAGAGGAGGAGGATCTCAATATGAAGGATATCTTTATATTTAGCTGTTTCACTGTGCATGACATGCTCCTGTCGTCTATCTGAACTCTTGCTAAACCAATTTAAAGATTTCTTTTAAATCAGGAAATGCAACAGACTTGCCTTTTTCTCCGCGCTGTAGAGACGAGCGGAGGCTTCCATGCAGACTTGCACCTTGTGTTCGCTGTTGTTTTTCACAACAGTACCAGTTGTGGTTATGTGTTAGTATCATAACATGCTTTCATTTCCATTGTAGAGAAGTGTTACTAAATTATTTAATTCATAGTGGACATTTCATTGTTCCTGATATTGGCGTATATACCTCTCTTGTAGTGTATCGAGTAAGAAGAATGTCAGTCAGTGTGAAGAATATGTTACAGACTGAGAGCTAGGAGTTGTCTTTTGTTTAAAATGAGTGGCATCATACTGTACTGTGCAGCACGACCTGACCACTCCACTAAATGATACCATGCCTTTCTGCACTAGTCATTAAGACACTATTTGAGGTTTATGAAATCTTTAAATACCCTTTTAACCAAGAGCAGAGTATCATCTGTTCTTAGCCGATAAGTACTCTGTAAAATCATCTAATATTAAAGCATTACTTGGAGAAGTAATAAGAATTGAAAAAGCCTAAACCGGCCGTGATAAGGGCTGGGTAATATATCGTTATTAGATCGATATTGTGATATGACACAAGATATCATCTTACATTTCTGAGCGTAATGGTGTCTTTTCTTGGTTTTAAAGGCTGGATTTAGTTTGAGCCATACTACTATTTGCCTTAATATCCACAAAACTATGCATTATTTAAAAATGTGAAAGCACAGTCAACACTATAATACGTCCCAATATCTATATCAAGGTATTTGATCAGAAATATGGTGATATTTGATTTTCTCCATATTGCCAGCCATTTCTTCTTCTTGCCACAGAATGCTCATGTCAGCATCTATTTATTTTCCAGAAGGTGTAATAATGACAATTGTCCAATAAGAGGCTTTGCCTAAAATGATATTGGGTTAAGCATCTGCCTTCTACACTACCACTGATTTAGCTGCTCTGTGTAACGGTGTGTTTCTGCTCTCATCATGAGTCTGAAATCAGCGTTAGGTTTCTTTTGCAATGACAATGTTGCCTTTATGGACAACCCATGTCTAAACCGTACAAAATGGCCAATTTGGTTCCAACTAAATGAAGCACTAATCATCCTTATTATCTGTTGCCTTACCCTGTACAATTTGACAGACTGTGTTGGAACACTGAAACAATCATCTTTTGATTTGAGTTCTGGTTTCTTTTGAAAGACAAGTTAAAGTATGTGCTGTATGTCGGGCTGAGTATCCAATGTTCTGAAGTACAGACATCAAGGTGTCTGTATTGAATGCTGGTCCTTATGCTCATTGTTATTTAGTTACACAGTTCCTGATGTTTGCCGTTGGAATCGGGCAGGTTTGTGTCGAAAAATGTGATTCTATTCAGCCAAATATCTCCAAATAATGACCATTTTGGGGTTTTTTTCCCCAAAGTTTTGAACACGCCTAGAAAAACCTTCAATTGATACCCAGCCTTATGTCATAAATGTATGTTTGTGCAAAATGTCTTTCTCCACTACATGTTCATGTCCACATTATCAGTGCTTTAAGCCTCTCGAAGTGCTACCATTCAACTTCGGCTCTTTTACAAAGAAATCTAATCTCAGGTGAAAAAGGTACGTCGCATCCGAAACCTTAGCACTCACCGTTTGTTTTTAATATTGTTTGGACAAACAATACAAATATTGTTTGTCCAAATTCATCTTTTTTTTTAATTCTTTTTTTTCTCTATTTTGTTTGGACGCAGCGTTGTGAAGTTGTTTTGCGCACCTAAACAGACAAGGCTGCAAAGGAATATTAAATGATGGATAAGGTGGTATGTAAAAGTCCTTTTTAATAATTCAGTGAGATCTAAAAAAGGATGTAGCTCACCAAGTGGATTATTGAAGGTATTTTTGACCAGGGAGAGTTGGACTTACTTGAATTGTTTGTTGGATTATCTATAAAAGAAATAAAGTTGTGGCCTATGAAGTGTATATAAAGAAAAAGGTTAAAGTTTCGTCTTTTTTGAACAGAGGGTTTGAATGTGGGACATTGCTGGCCAATGATGGATGACATCTTCTAAGTGAAAAGCGCCTTTTCGATTTTGTTCATAAATGTATACTGCAAGTAATATTTGTACATGTTTAGCGGTTTTATTGAATTGTAAATAGAGCACTAATCGAATATAACATACTGTACACTCGCACATAAAAACGTGCATGTCCAGAAGGTTTTATAATGTTAATGAATGTACAAATATACCTTTGTGATTGGAAAGCGTAACTGAATAAACTGAGATGAAAACATTGGCTCCTGTGGTAATACACGTGCTATAATATGTTCCAGTATCTCTGACTTTATCACTTATATTTCTGTTTTAGGCGAATCCAGGGAAGAACTGTCAGTCAGATCAAAAGGACAGTCATGTTAGAGCAGGGATAGAAGATTCGCAGGTAAGAGAGCAGTCGCAGTTATATGTAGGTTATTGCAAATGGTCTTTTTTGCTATATCCATCTTAAAGGATGGTTGTCAGCACAAATAATACAAACAGCATACTGATGGTAATACATCTAAGAGTTGTTTTGTTGCTGATTATTGTTTACCATTCAGTAATAACCAACTTAATTCCTCACTTTCAAAGCTCAATTTCTAGCCTACATTACTTTTTCTCCACATGATATTGTAAACCAATACTGATGAAAGGCAGTAAGGCTAGAAGAACTTTGAATCCTTGTTTTCCAACCGAAAAAGCAAATGATTTTTCATCGAATAAGCATTTTCTATGCTTTGGGGCTGCAATTTAGGATCATTTTCATTGTCAAGCATCCGTCTATTCATTTTCAATTAATTGAATGATTGTTTGGTTTATTAAAAGTCAGGAATTGGTGAAAATAGTTTTCTTCTAAAGCCCAAGATGACAAATGTCTTGTTTTTTTTCTCACTTGAAAGATATTCAGTTTACTGTCGGAGAGGAGCAACGGTTTTTCTGCCTTTAATTTCTTAAGAAAAAGCTCAAACTGATTTGATTATAAAAAATAGTCGCCGATTACCAACTAATCTGCAGCTCCTCCTGTATGCTGTGCTCTTTCAGAGGTGGTTCCAGTTCCTCCCCGTCACCAGTAGAGGGCAGGTCAGATATGCAGTCCCTCTTTAAACCTTTTCACATAAGAGCGGTCTGTCTATGATAATGTACATACTATGTATGTGGTATTGATCAACTTAAAAAGGTCTAATTTTGTAGCAATTTATTATTAGCTTTCACACCATAAACTACCATTATTGAATGTTTGGTTTAGGGCTGTTTTTCATGGCTTGGACAAGGCTGCTTGTTTCTGCTGTTAAGGGACAACATGACAATAACCCCAGTGAACATAGTCGGCCAATAAATGGTTTTCCTCTGAAGCTCAGTGCTCCTCTAAGCTTTACTTCCACCAAGGAAGTTCGGTTTTCAGTTTGTTTGGAGAGTTTGTGAGCAGGATAACAGAAGAACTTCCTTCCCAATGTTCCTTAAACTTGTGGGGTGAAGCATGGGCCAAGAACGAACCAATACAAAATGTTTGGATTCGGCTCACAGGGTGGAAATACAAATGAAATTGGTACCTTTCTTATCATTGTCATTTGGATTTGCCGGGAAGTCTGCGATTTTAAAGTGCCCTTCTAGTTCAATCGCTATTATTATTATATTATTATTATTGTTGTGGTGAACCAAAACAAACTATTATTTTCCCCAGCTGTTTATTTTATGTCTTCTTTTATAGTTTTGACTTTGGAGCAAATTTTACTGTTTGGAATTCAAGTATGGAGACTTCAGCTTCTAACAATTTCTAAGGTATTTTTAAACTAAATGTAATTAATTGGGGACATATTATGCTAATTCTCAGGTTCATATTTGTATTTTTGCCTCTACTGTGACATGTCTCCATGCTTTAATGTTCAAAAAGGTCTTTATTTTTGCACATACTGCCTGTGCTGCAGCACCTCTTTTCACCCTCTGTCTGAAACCAGAGCCCAGTCTGCTCTGATTGGTTAGCTGGTCGACTCTTTTGTGATTGGTCAACTGCTTAGAGGTGTGTTGGAAATGTCCCTCCCCTTAGCCTATCACGAACAATGTGTTGGAGAGCTAGTCAAAAAGAGCGAGTGTTACATAACATGGTGACATCATGTCATTGTCACTATGTTATGGAAGTAAACAAATGGCGTGTGGAGGCAGGGGGGGGAAGTGTGTTTTAGAGAACTTTGGGACTCTAGCCTTTGCAGACCATCCACATGAACTAAAACCTCAAAAACACACTACGGGAAAGGGAAAACCCCCAAAAGTATAATAGGGCCCCTTTAAAGACAGTTGAGTTCACTTTAAGACTGTTACAACTAAAGATCTTACTGTAGGTACCAGCTGTATTGAGTCCTTAGTGAAAAAGGACAATAGGTTGCACAGCATAGAGCATACAGCAGCATGTTCACTGCCTCTGGTGTTATTGATTATCCTTTTGTAGTTGCTAGGGCAACAAGTTACTGCTGGTCTATTTCAATTACATTTTTATTATTTAAGCAGCATTAAATGTCACCTTGGGTGTACTGTACTAGTGCCGTTTCCATGGTTTCTTAGAACCATTAACTCCTTGTGTGTATTGTTTTCTCTGCACACAACAATACAGAACTGTGTCACTTACATATCTTCATTAGAGAGAAGGGAGAGGGAAAGCTGACTGTGGAAAAATGCTGTGTACTGACTAGAAGAGAGTGATGTTTCAGATTGATCACTGACGCAGTACTGCAAATGGTGCATGGCCTACTATTAGTATTAACAACATATACTAGACTCATGGTCAGTGGAAAGTGTCCTCAAATAATGACTCAGCAAGGGTAGATACATCCAAATAAACACTGTCAGATAGAGAGGAAGGATTTAAGTTAAGTTGTGTCTCTTTGAGAAGTTCAAAGAAACGGATTGGGAGAATATTAAATGACAAAGAAAAAAACACCAGGCACTGCATAGCGAGTCTCCTAATTTATAGAAATAGAAACAGTTCCCCTCTGAAATCCCACAGTTCCCTCCAGAGGGAGTTTCTCTCCCACACACTCCCTCCCCCCACTGCCTGGAACGCCACCATTGTGGTCCTTTGTTTACTCCCGTAATATAGTGACATCACTATGTCATACTTGTCCTTCTATTGGCTAGTGCTCCAACACATTGTAGGTGATAGGTTAAGGGGCGGGCCATCTTTAAGTGGTTGACCAATCACAACAGAGCCAGCCAGCCAATCAGAGCAGACTGGGCACTGGTTTCAGACAGAGGGTGAAAAGAGGTGCTGCAGCAGTATAAGAAAAATAAAGCACTTTTTTGAACATGTAAGCATGTAAACATGTCACCGTAGAGGCACAAAATACTAATACGAACCTGACAATTAGCATAATAGGGCCCCTTTAAGAAAATATTAAGATTACTTGCCCATTCAAAAAATCAGTCGAGTCAATCAAATTCATCTTTAACTTTTGTTTCTATATAATCAACCTTGATAAACATCCCTAATCATCGCTACACCCCTAATTTGTAGCGTGTGTGCAGTTGTCAGGAGAAAACTGTCCCATTATGCTGTATTTGATGCATAATACTTAGAATTATCCAGACAGCAAACTATTTCTACCCAGTAATACCATGATACATGCCGTGCTTTCCCTCTTTTTCTCTGCTCTCCAGTTTTTCAGTTTGTAATGCCATTTGAATACCTCCCTCCTATGACTCATCTCCCTGTCTCCCTGTCAGCTGCTCTTATTTCTCCCCACTCTAATTACATCTAGCTGTGTTTTGACTGCAGCAAAGCGGTCCACTTTAAAAGGAGGACGTTGTCAAATAAGAGGATTTTAAGGCGTGAACAACCTCTGTCTAGTGATGCAGGAAATACAGCTAAGAGGGGTGGAGCTTCTCCTCTAACCCTGTTAATAATGAATGTTAATTGTGTGTGCTGTTCATCTAGAAACCAATTAAATGACATGTGCCAAACAGCTTGATTAGATGAGAAACAAAAACATCAATGAGAATATTCCCCCCCACACGTTTTATATCCTGCATAATGAGCGTTAAAGAGAAAGCTAGAATTGTATTCTCCCATTCTCCGCCTCTGACTGACTATTACATTATTTATGAAGTGGGGATGTGCTGCATCTCCTGATTCCCTCTGCTGAAATGCAGCTGCTGCCTGCACGCTACGTATATTACGGTATTTTACAGCTATCTGGCAGAGGAGCTTGACGGACGCAGAGATATAAGGGAGAGGAGAAGGGAAGAACAGATTTCTGCAAATCCACACTTTAGCAGCTGATTTTCACTACAGCAAAGGTACAGTGTATTTTCTCGCTTGAGTATCTTTCTTTAAAGCATGTGTGTATCTGGGATTGACTTCAGCTCTTCAACAGTGCGATTTCATGTCAATGCTCAGCATATGTGACCGCCCACAGGACCTTTTGCCATCCTCCTCATCATGCTGAGGAAGGGAGACAGAGAGGTCCTCCTGGATCTGCACTCTGAGAGTGAAGCCCAAACCACAGATGGATATGGGAGTGTGCACAACGGGAGCTATATCCCACCTAGATGTGTAAGCAAAATTGTACTTTTTTCCCCCATAACACTGCGGTCTGTTTTCCTTTGATCTAGGCATCACACAGATTGAAAAGAGGCTATGGACCCTGCTATCTCGCTCATCCCTTCACACCTCACTGACTTCTCTGACATGTTGCAGTGTATCTGAAATACACAGGATTACAAACTGTAGATCACTAGGGAAAAAAGGTCTTGTGAAACTCAACATTTGCTTTAAACTATCCAAGTATACTGTTAAAAGCTCAGGGTTATCTTGCTGCATTATTGCAAAGTGAAGGCAGCTGAGTAATGGCACGGGTCTTATAGGTCAAATCTAATAAAGAGCTAATTAACTGTCCATATACAGAAGAAAGGTTTTGCAAGCAGAACAGTGAGTAGATTTTTTTATTTAATTATTTGCAAGCACTTTTTATTTGAATAACTGTTTGGATGCGTTTAGCTTTCAGCTGCTGACGACGATGATGATCCCATTTATATGCACTGTAATACAACAAGTGACCAGTCGGTTCCACAGCTGGGGAATTACTTCAGAGATGGCAAAACCAAAATTGGTAGGTGAATCAGGGTCTCACATTGTATTAGTTGTCACAGGCTCAATGATGGATGACCAAGTCAGACCTGCGCTTATCCTTTTTATCTGGGTTCAGACTTCGTACTCGTGTGGGAGATTCGCTCGCGGAAGAAACGGCGAGGGAAGAGCGAGGTGACGGGTGAGGAGGGGGACGCAGCGCCCCCCGAGGAGAGCAGCCGGTCTGAACGCAGGAAGGCTCAGCTGGCTCAGTGGAGGGAGAAGTTTGTTCAGAATCTGGAGAGTGCTGGATTAGTCATGGAAAAGGTGCTGTAAATCTGATTATTGCTTTTAATCTTTATTCATTTTTACACATATTTTTGTTCTGAATTAGATGATTCTCATTCAAATGTTCTCTGTTCTGTTTAGGAGGAAACATCGAATGAAAAGAAAACAATACATTTCCTTAAACTTAGCGCTCCTTGGGATGTGTTGGTGTATTTCGCTGAGGAACTCTGTCTCAGAGCTCCACTGCAGGTTAGTGCTGCTGGTTAATCAATTAGGTCTAATTTGAAGATATAAAACTTAAGATTTGTATCTTGTTTGTCAGTTCACAACAATGATTAGATAGAGTGCTTTCAAATGTGTTCAGACCATCAAGATGCGTTACCGTTCCACTTATACTGATCAATGTAAAATGTGTAAACATGTACAAGATAAATAACCATGGAATTTGTACAGAAATGATTGGTTCTCAGACTACTGACTTGAAATTGATTTCTAAACTTTGCGGCATGCTGTGGTTTGGACTGTTGGATGGCTTGTGAAAGGAATATTGTCACAATGCCATCAGCCTCCGCAAAACATGTGCATGTTTAGTACTTAGTACTGGACATTAGAAAGCTAACAAGCTAGGCTGGTACACAAGTACTCTTCGATGAAGCTCACTATGTACGCTATGTACTTTGATTGATGAGAAGTCAAAAATCTAACCCTTTTGTTGTAAAATTAACCCTAAAAACATACTGTTGGCTTCTAATCGACAACATTAGGCTGTTATTACTAAGTAAAAACAGTGTATCCTAATCCGCCGCTGTTCCCACCCCTTCCGCTTTGTTGTGAAGAGGGCAACAAATGAGATGGAGAAAATTCACACTTAACCTTTTGCCTATTATGAGTTTATTATTAGACTCACCATCCGGGTGTTTCGTATTCAAGCACAAGTGGCAAGTGTAGTTAAGGAAAAACTCAAAGACACACAGCCTACAATCGCAAACACACATATATACAATCATGGTATACATATTTAACGTAAACATCAACATGGCAGCATTGAGTCAAACTTTCATTCAGCGAGCATGTTAGTTTGCTGAATTTAGCTCAAAGCTACATACAGTAGCTGCTTGCATGGATCATGAACTCTTCGTGTTGCTTTTACATCAAACACCAGTTTCTATGGTATCTGGAGGAGTCTGCCTTTCCTGAGCAGGATTCAAATTGGTATCTACATTTCTTTTAAAACTCTGGGATCTTTATCAGTAAAATGAACTTACTTTTAACCACATGTGTCACCAAATAACTGAAATGAATGCAGCAAAAGAAAAAGTAAGATGAAATGTTTTTCATACAGAATGTGTTTGCCTTTTAGGCTCAGCAAAACCTGGACCTCAACACATCTGCTCGGGTAATGAAGAGACTATGCATACCTAACATGATGATGGAGTCAGTGCCAAACAGGCCGCTGGACTATTACACATGTGCCTTTCGCAAGTCAAAGATGAACAGGTGAGTTCTAACCATCCATGGTTGATAACAGGATCGGTATGTCAAAGTTTATTTTGGCTAAATGACTGTCTCTCTTCTTCAGGTTTCTTGGCTGTGACAACCATGACACCTACTTCACGAACACGCAGAGACACCGTGTGGTGAGTATCAGGAATTCCTCTTCAGTGCACGAAATCAGTGAAATTGTTCTCTCATGAAAGGAGAATATATGTATTATTTTTAGGTGTATGAGATTCTTGCCAGAACGGTGTACGGCAAAAGGAAGAGGGCTGAGGTTGGAGTGGACAGACTTGTGAATGAAGGCGTGTACACAGCGGCTTTCCCCCTGCACGAGGTCAGAAATGATTGATCTGCTCTTTAATCGGATGGAACACTTCTGCTGCCTGTCCTCTACAATACGCATTTTTCTTTTCCCACAGGGCTCCTTCAAGCTTCCAAAGTATGAGATTCGTCCTGACGAGCTGAACCAGAGGCAGATTCTTCATCACTACTGGAGCCGCTGGTGCAAATGGTACAAGTACCAGCCACTGGACCACATCAGAGAGTACTTTGGAGAGAAGATTGCACTTTACTTTGCCTGGCTGGGTAAATATAACATGGATTACTTTGCCTTGAGATTTGATGTTTGTTGTGGAAAACATGTACAGTATAAGCATTTTCAAGAGCTTTCAGTTGGATCTCATGGTCTTCATCCGGAGATGGAGTTTTCTAACTTGTTCAAAGAGGGTTCAGCAATCCTACAACAGTGTGTAGGATGTAATAGCGTCTAGCAACAAGGTTGTAGATTGCAACCAACTGAATAATACCCCTACCTTTCCTACTAGAGAACTACAGTGGCCTTAATTAGACAATTTGTAGACAGGATTTACTCATTCTAAGCTGACAACAACATAATGATTATTAGTTTCAGGTGATTCCCTCAAAATCCTAACCTTTTTAATCTGAGGATAATATTTTATTTTGTAGCAAAACCTCACTCTTAAAGACTGGGAGCTTATTTGATACGGCCTTTTAAATCTGTAATAAATAATAATCCAAAACATTGTAATATACTGTTTAAGACAGTAGTCCATGCTACAGCCAGGGAATATGTTTGTGTTTCACGCACCTGCCTGGTAGATACATGTTGGATAAATCACATGTAAAATGTAGGCATTGGGCATAAGAAATTAAATATCTGAATAATGAAAAGGGTGTAGCATGGACATCATTAGATACATTTGTGTTTCTACCCCGAGATTCGGATCTGCTCCAAAATGTTAAGGATTCGTCCATGGCTTATAGTTCACCCTTCCACAAAGTTTCCCAAAAAATATGGCCTGTAGTTTTGTTGACAAACAAGCAAAACAAACCGAAAAACATGACCGAATTAGCGGGAATAGTGCAACTATCATCCTCATCATTAGACGTTTTCTTCTGCGAAGCCATTCCGACCTCTTCATCAAAAGACATTCCAGCATCAAGCAGCACATCCCTGCATCAGCTGGGAGCCGCACCCTAATGGATCTTCATGTCTCTGCAGGTTTCTACACAGCCTGGCTGCTGCCGGCCGCAGTGGTCGGGACCCTGGTCTTTGTGTCTGGAGTCATGTCCATGGGTACCAACACACCAGCGTGAGTCCACACACCCCACAGGAAATACATGTTTCATTGCATTACATACATGTGAAGCTGGACTGTTGAGTGTAGCATTATGTTGATTTAGTTGATGTATTAAGTCGGTCAAATCTTAGAGGGGAATTTCACCAGTTTTACAGTCATTGATGTACACTCAATTAGTATGAGATTGTGATAGTATTGAATTAGTATCAGAAATTATGTTTCTGCTGGATCAACTGAGCATTCTGACGCTTCATTAAAGAGTATTGCTATTTTTGTGAAAGATCTTACACAATATTGCCTCTACATGTTAACATTTGACTTCCTAAGCTATGAAACAAACCATGGCTCACTTCAGTAAAGTCAGGGGTTTTAATTCTGCATAAGATGTATATTGATATGTAGCTTGTGTTATGTTTTACAATGACACAGATAAACATAATAAAAATGTCAATTGTTGCATCATAAAAGTGTTGACTCAACAGATTTTACATCAGTGGCCGTATGTTTGAGGTCTCATTCCGCTCACTCTCGGTCAGATTGACTGTCTCTTTGAAAGAACTGGCTTAAGAGAGTCTTGGAAATTAGCGAAATTCAATGTGTCATTCTTGTGCAAACATTTAATTGTCAGTTATTTGATATTAAAAAAAATTTGGGTGATTTTCGAGGAATTAACCTGATGTAGTCCATTTTGTGACATATCGTATAACTACTGGGTGAAGTGAGGTTGCCAGATTTGTTACCATCTTGCCTGGACAGGTTAGCATTGAAAGTTAGCTAGGGCTCCTTCGACTGGATTAGATTTTGGACGTTGCAGAAAATATGGCAAACACATTTTGTCCAGCAGTATAATTTCCACATATTAACATTCCTTCTATACTAGTTACAGAGTAAATGCAATCGCCAGAAGTAAAAAGCTACGATGGCTTTAAACAAACTAAATCACACTCGCATGGCTGAGCATCACTGATCATCTGAAGTCCGACTCTTATATTGTCACTTTTATACCACCATTTTATGTTGAATTGAAGCTTCAGACATTTACAAGTGGGGTATCTTATTATGACATACTTATGTCGAAAACACAGCATTAACATTCTCAAAATCCACCAGAACTGTAAAATTGTACCTACGCTATTATATTTTCCTATCTCCACATTATGTAAAGCAAGCACAGTTTGAGATACAAATAAACCTAAGCATCAACGCATAGTCTGTTCTGCATGAAAACAAACTCCATAGTTGTTCAAACCACATGAGGTTTGTTTGGCCCAATTTATCATTTGTATTTAACAGCACAGAAAGCTCTACTCTCGCTACAAAGAATTATAGTCATTCCTTTTCTTCGAGTGTTGTACCCTAATATTGCCTAAACAATTGTGTTGTGTTTACCATTCCCTCTCTGTTGGTTTTAGTGACAGAAAATCCATCCTGCTATAAAGAAACAAGTGAGGTTAGAGTAAACGGAAAGTCAATATCTCAGGAAAGGAAACGACCCAACGTCTCAGATTCATGATGTTCATTAGTTCACACTTTAGATTAAAGCCATTGATTCATGGAGAACGGATGGAGAGCTCTAGGCAGCTGCAACAAACTGCCGCTATCTCATTTGATAATGGACAATTAGTGCAGAATAATCCTCCCATTACATAAATGTGGAAGATAGACGTCTCTCAGTGGGTCCAAGATGTATTCCTGCAGCATCATAGTTGCAGTGAGTCACTGATTAACTGCAGTGAAGGTGCGGTAGCTTGTGAATGATTCCATCACCTTCCATCTGTTCTATTTTCTCACTCAATACATATTCCCTGGCTTTATGTGAATGCAAAATACACTACAGTTCATTCACCTTATCTGTGACAATAATAACTATAGTTTCTGCCAAATGTGCTTGGGCACCTGATACATCCAAATATGAAAGGCTAGTTTGAAAGCTTTAAAATGTGTTTGCTCATTAGTAACTAATCCATATGTATGTGTCTGTCAACAGTAAGGACATCTGTACCAGCGGAGCGAGTTATCTCATGTGTCCTCTGTGTAACACATGCAAGGCCTGGAACATGTCTGATATCTGCACCATGGCCAAGGTAATAAAAAACATTTTCACTAAACCAGTTTTATTTATTTTTTAACCACAATGCAAAATTGATGACGTTATTCTGTATTGCAGTTGGGCTACCTGTTTGACCACCCAGGAACCGTCCTCTTCAGTGTCTTCATGTCCTTCTGGGCTGTAACCTTCCTGGAGTACTGGAAGAGAAAGATGGCCACCCTGGCCCATCACTGGGACTGCATGGACTTCCATGAAGAAGAGGTCTCCCAATCCTTCCTTTCTTTCTTGACCAAACTGTTCTCATACACTTATTGTCTCTTGATTAAACATATAGTTTCTGAATTGGCCAGCAAAGAGTGTGTCCATTGATGCTGATGTCATCACTGTGTCCCTCAGGAGCGTCCTCGTCCAGAGTTTGCAGCCATGGCCCCGACGATGGAGCCAAACCCAGTGACCGGAGTGAAGGAGCCGTACTTCCCAGAGAAGACCAGGCTCGCCCGTGTGTTCACCGGCTCCATGGTGATCATCATGATGGTGAGACACTGTTCAAACCTGTTCGTTCCGTCTATTTTAGCAGCATTTGCAGTAACATTATATTATATATATATTTATTGTATTTGTTTCCTTGTATCAGTTGAAAATGCATACTGTACATCTCAGATTGGCTGCTCAATGTAACCACTGAAGAATACAGTGAAGTTTCTTTGATTAACGGGTCCCTATTATGCTTATTTTATTTGTTCTTTCCGATAGTGTGTTATATAGGTTTTTGTGCATTTAAGTGATCAAAAGCTAAAATCCCAAAGTTCCCCTCTCTCTAACATAGTGACATCACCATGTAACACTTGCGCTTCTATTGGGGAGCGCTCCAACACATTGTACGTGACAGGCTAAGTGGCGGCACTTCTCTAAGCGGTTTACCAATCACAACAGAGCCGCCAGCTTACCAATCAGAGCAGACTGGGCTCTGGTTTCAGACAGGGGGTGAAAAAAGGTGCTGCAGGCAGTATGAGGAAAATAAAAGACGCTTTTTTGAACATTAAAGCATGTACACGTCACAGTAGAGGAACAAAATACAAATATGAACATGGACATAATATTTCCTTTTTTAATTACATCGCTTGTTTTCTATGAATATAATCACATATGATATCAACATATTTTCATTTTCCTAATCTTGCAAACATTGTAATTATTCTTAGTTTCAGTAAAGAGGTCAGTAGAGCTCTGCTCTATGTGAGCTTTTAATGTTTTGATCCTGATGAGAAAGAGAGGTGGGGTTCAGTGTATTATTGCAGTGAATCCTGACAGTTAACAGTGGAAACTGAACCTCTCTCTAATAATGAAACCAGGTCATTGGCCCACAGGGCTGGGTCTGATCTGATAATCTCACCTGTACACTTTATGCTCAGTCTCAGGATTTACTTGTTCCTGGGACAATACGTTATGATCAGTTTCTCCTGACAAAGATGACGGAGCTGGACAATTGAAAATGGCACAAGGCAGACTGAATAGAACAGTATCTACGATCACTTACCGGTACCTGGGAAGCAAACAAAGAGCAGTGACTGAGAAAAAAGTTGTTCCAATCAAGTGACTTTTTTTATTCAGTTGAAAAATAAATTCAACCAATTATAGAAAGTACTATGGATTTTGCTGGTTATCATTATTATTATTTAGCAAATAAGGTGGGGTAAACTGCATACATTTAGTCCACCTCCTAAACCTCAAGAAAAACTACTTCTACTACTACTCTGAGATGTTAAGAGTATTTATTCTCCACAAACTGTAATGTTTTACACCCTGTCTTCCTGTGTCTCCCCTCTCAGCTGTGCGTGGTGATGATCTTCCTGGTGACGGTGGTCATGTGCCGCGGGATCATCAGCTTGATGATGTTCCGCACCGGGAGCCCCGTCCTGCGTACAGAGGTACATCAAAGCAGCAGAGAGCAAATACAGTGTGTATATGGACATTATAATCTCTGCCTGTCTGTTCAAAGCTAATATCGCATACTACGACATTTTGTGTCTCTAGTCATTCACAATCTGAACAAAATCTGTTTTATTGAACGTTTTATAGCATCCTTCAACTAGGCTCCAAACAACCCTCACCACCTTTGTTGAACAAGTGAACCAGATGATCTGCAAATTAATTCCATAAGACATTTTTGATCCACTAAAATTACACCTGAGACAAGATAATACAAATCCCTATTTGTTTATTTTTGCAACAATATCGACCGTAAGGGAGCCTTAAGGGACAATTGAGTGGGATTTGTTGAAATAACTGTCTTTAATAATCGACAGTATAATGACGACTACATGATTACACTACAGGTGTACATCAGCTCCTTCTACTCTCTGTACCGTCTGAACTTGTATGTGTGTGTTCATACTTAACATACAAGTGTGTGCTCTCCTCCTCAGGCAGGAACCATAGCGAACATCTGCAGCAGTATAGTGAGCCTGGGCCTCATCCTGCTGATGGGCCAGGTCTACACTGCATTAGCAGAGCAGCTCACTAAATGGGGTAAGAATCAATACTGCCTTAATGCTATATATTGATATCAGCCTCTCACTGGATCTCCACTAACTAAACGATGAGACTCCTTAAAGACGAGATGATGTCTTTAATTTGATCCCAGCTTCCAGGGTAAGAATAATCTTTTATTGTGGGCGATGACTTTGCTGAGTGGGAGTGTGCAACTGTAACACAGAGCACTCAGCAACTGTAAAACACAGTGTCTCTTTTTCTGACATTATTAGGTGTCTTGTTTAGTTACGGCATCATATGGTTGCATATGATGGAGCGCTGAACCATAGATGGACAAATAAAGTTATAAGAACTATGCTAGTAGGTTTAAGAAGAAACCAGTAATAACATTTCTCTAGAAACAGCAAACTATTTGTATCCTCTTACTCATAAAGACTTATGAACAGCTGCTAAATTATTCTTTACAACCCGTTAAAGTTATGGCTTTCGACACGAAAGCCTCAATATATAGAGTATCTAACATTACCTCCTATGTATCTTCAATAGATGGTGATGATTTTTCATGTCTTAGCTGCTACTTTTACTTTAGCTAGTTGGCTAACAGCTAAGCACAACCAAGTAAATAGTTCACCACTGTCAGAACCGTTGTTAAGCTTGTTAGCATGCAAACCCTGTATGATATGCAAAATAGCACTATCAAACTCAGGAATGAATGAAAGTGGGTACTTCATTTAAACCAAACCAAAGAACATTACAAATTGAAATGTTGACTTATCATAGGACAAATAAAAATAAGAGGGGGCGGAGCTTATGCCGGCTCATGCGGGACCTGGCAGATACTGTCTAAAATGCTGCGGTGATGAAACGCAAGGATTATTAGATCAAGGATTATTTCTGAAACAGTATGGAGCTCAAAGACTTTCTCTCTTGCGGGTTTACCACAAGGTGAGTTCCTTTTTATTTCCTGCTTCTTCACAAACATGCTCTCTCCAGTACAGCTTAGCTCTGAGTGTTAGCGATGCTTGCTAATGTAAACAAAGACTATTACGTCCAAAACACGTCGGGAATTGTTTCTGATACAGCGACGTTTCTGATAGTGCCGTGGGTCCACCATCCGATATGACGTAATTTACGTCATATAGGATCGCAAATCTGGATCAACTCCGTTGTAGCCCCGTTTTTAGAGATTTGTGCATGGAAGAAAAGAGAGAGGGTTTTATTTTCTGACACTTTGTGAGTTCCCCGACACACCGGGGACACATATTTATGTATAAAAGACATCAAAACGTGCATTTTGCATGATAGGTCCCCTTTAAAAGAAAAATAGGTACATGGAATTAACTACAAATATTATTATACCACTTCATTTGCGACAGTAGTTCTATTGTTTCCATCAGATACTGTATCATTACCTTCACCAAGTTGTTGCTAAGATTCCTAAACTTGTAAGCAAATGCATGTTGATGACCATACAGTTAATGCCATAGTTAAGTACAAGTATAACATTACATTTGACTGACATTAACACTTTGTTTCCTCGCTTTCTCTTTTCCAGAGATGCACAGAACACAAACCCAGTACGACAATGCTTTTATCTTCAAGGTGTTCATCTTCCAGTTTGTCAACTTCTACTCGTCCCCTTTCTATGTAGCTTTCTTTAAAGGAAGGTGAGACACGAGTTAGTCTCAACACACAAAGAAAGTAAGACGTAAAGAGCATTTTGTGCCAAATAAGATTGAACCTTTCCTCCTTCTCTGTGTTTGCAGGTTTGTGGGGTACCCTACCAACTACGGGACCTTGTTTGGGATGAGAAATGAAGATGTGAGTCTTTATAATTCTCAGAAGGAGCGAGTGTTTTAGATCCCTGCTATAGAGAACCACAGTGACGCGTGCTAAAACCTGGAAGTAAACTCCTTCCGGTTCCTTCGTCAAAAACCAATGCAATTTCTCCATAGGATTTTGGAAAATAGCAGTGATCTTTAATGTTGTAGAACAAAACGTGATCTGTCTCTTCAATTTGTGTCAACTACAGACCTTATTTCGTGCTATTTTCCAAAATCCTATGGAGAAATTGCATTGTTTTTTTTCGAAGGAACCGGGAGTGGTAAAAATGCTAACTTACTTCCGGGTTTTAGGACACTGCGTCACTGCGGTTCTCTATTGTATTTCCATCTAAGCATGTAAAAGTATCAAGTTCAATAACTCTGTGTATTTCCTATTGCAGTGTGGACCCGGGGGCTGCCTCATTGAGCTGGCTGAGCAACTCTTCATCATCATGGTGGGAAAGCAGCTCATCAACAACATTCAGGAGTTCATTATCCCGTATGTAAACCAGCATCTAACATCATTCATTCATTTTCTGATTTTACTCAACAGATCTCAAGATATCACATGTTTTTTCACAAAATGGCTTCACTTTGCAAAACCCAAACAGAAGAACAATTTGGTGAAATGAAATTGTCGATTAAACAAACAATTATAGGCATTTCAAAGTTTGAAGGCGCAATGAGCCGGTTAATGTTCGTAAAAACAAAGTCTGGCATGTATGCTTACAATATCCCAGCTAGAAATGTTTGGTTTTTAAAACATTCTGAGAATGTTACCATTCATTGTTCTAGGAATGTTTTCAGCGGGAAGTTTTTCTTTGGTTCCCAGAATGTTCTTCTGAAAGGTAGGATAACGCTCTCTAAAAACATTCTTAAAATGTTTGGTGATAACTTTCTTAAGATGTTTTTGATAACATTGTTAGAACATTATGCCCTACTATTCTTAAAACGTTTTCAGCTGCAGGTTCGATTTTTTTATGTTGCCAGAATGTTATTATTTTAGAGTAGGATAACGTGCTTTATCGGTCCGATTTATCAGAAGTCTTGCAGCAGCTAGCACAAGTCCCTGTCGGTGTCACATGTACTGGAGGGGACCCAGAGTCAGACTCGGAATCAGCTGGTGAAAGTAACATTTGTTTATTAGAAAAGGGGAGCTGGGAGTGGAGGTTGGTTATGGCGGCAGTGGGAAACAGTTGTTCCAGGGTGGGTAGAGAGGCCTGGCGGGTCTTGCGAGTGTGGAAGGCCTTGGATTCCTCCTGGGAGAGACATTCAAATCAGTGTGAGGCAAAAGCAGGCAAAGTTGTCAAAGAATATGCTGGTAAAAAGCTGCACGCAACAATCCGGCAGGGATTGAGTGCAGGCTGCAGGCTTTTATAGTGTGGCTGATGAGCAGGTTGCAGGTGTGGTTGGAGATTGCTCCCAGCCGTGTAGAGCAGACCAGCAGGCACTTCAGCTTAATCATAAGTGAGGGGATTAAAAAAAAAAAGAGGAAATCCAGCTCATATAACAGAAAAAAAAATAATGAGCTTTATACAGAAATGTGATATAAGACATCGCCATTGTTTTGCTGTTGCAACAGACTGCTCAGCTCCCTGTTGTTTGGTGCAGTAAAGCTCATTTCAATTCTGTAGCATTGGCACTGTGTGTGTGTGTGTGTGTGTGTGTGTGTGTGTGTGTGTGTGTGTGTGTGTGTTGTGTGTGTGTGTTGTGTGTGTGTGTGTGTGTGTGTGTGTGTGTGTGTGTGGTGTGTGTGTGTGTGTGTGTGTGTGTGTGGTGTGTTAGTGTTGGTGTGTGTGTGTGTGTGTGTGTGTGTGTGTGTGTGTGTGTGTGTGTGTGTGTGTGTGTGTGTGTGTGTGTGTGTGTGTGTGTGTGGTGTGTGTGTTGTGTGTGTGTGTGTGTGTGTGTGTGTGTGTGTGTGTGTGTGTGTGTGTGTGTGTGTGTGTGTGTGTGTGTGTGTGTGTGTTGTGTGTGTGTGTGTGTGTGTGTGTGTGTGTGTGTGTGTGTGTGTGTGTGTGTGTGTGTGTGTAGACACCAGGGGACGCCTCAGAGGTATTTTGGTAAACAAAAGGAATAAATCATTAAGTGTTCCCCTTATGTCAGAAATACATTCAGTTTGTAGAGGCCTTCCAACAAGAGAACTATAATGCTTAGAAAAAAATATTATTGGCTATCAATTGGGAGGAAAACCCATACATTTACAAATGGAGAGTTCCTTCTTCTCGTGTTGCTTTTTCTTTCCATCCACTTTTTTCTTGACGTTCTTTCTTGCAAGGTGCCATAGTCCATCATTTTCTGGCAAATAATTTTGTACGCCACTTGTTCAAGCTGGCAGGGTGAAATAAAGGCCACACATTTCTATCATGAATCTATCTACGCTGATACCCCTGTTACAGTGCGGCTGCTGTAAGATTGATGAAGTGGTCGATTGGAGCTGAGAGTGTGCGCGCTGGCAGCCAGGGCTTGTTCTGCTTGTTAGGGTGGTTTGTGGTTTCTGTGATCGATACTGTAGCTGCGTCCAAGTTCAGAGCCTGCATCCTTCGAAGGATGTGCCCCACAAGGTTTATCCTATTGATAGCACACAAGCTGTTCCAGTAGCACTTTGATGTCCTTCATTTCTGTTCTACTGAGTTGGATTTTCTTAACGGGGCACTATTTTGCAAAATGTTTAGGTTTTATATATTTTTTATTATATTTGTATTGTGTGCCTCTAGTGTGACATGCTTTAATGTTTGAAAAGGTCTTCATTTTTCTCATACTGCCTGTGCTGCAGCACCTCTTTTCACCCTCTGTCTGAAACCAGAGCCCAGTCTGCTCTGATTGGTTAGTTGGCTGGCTCTGTTGTCAACCACTTGGAGATGCAGAGAAACTCCCTCTGGAGGGAACTTTGGGATTTTACATGCACAAAAACCTATATAGAATAGGGCCTCTTTAAGAGTCCAGCACATGACTTGTGTTAAACCTCTTTGATTTCTTTGACACGTACACAGAGTTTTGAGGCGATTTGTGTTGCAACAGAGGAAGAATACATTACTAAGAAGATGCCATTTCAAAGTCAAACTCAAACCACCTGCTTTTAAAGGTTTGAGCCTCAGGGACATGTAACCATGACTACAGCTCCAAGTGAATCCGACTTTAAAGAAATGAAAACCAATGCTCCAAGCAAATCATCCTGACTGAGAACTGTTCTCCGTGTAATATGAATTATAGTTTGTATTCAGGGTGAATACAATGACAAAACTAGGGACAAAAAAAAGGGAACTATAGGAAATGCAGTGTAAGTGTCATATTGTAAAGCTCTGTGTCTCTGCTCTGACAGTAAGGTGAAGGCCTGGAACCAGAAGAGATCTTTGGCCAAGGTGATGGGGGACAAGGCATCCCATGAGCCTCAGCGCTGGGAGGAAGACTACCAGCTGGTGGAGTGTGAAGGCCTGTTCGAAGAGTACCTGGAGATGGGCAAGTATTCTATCTCTTTCATTTTTTTTCTGGAGAAAACATGTCTACATTCACATTATTTTCCATTAAAACTGTCCATACAAGGGGTAAATAAACAAAGTTAAAACAAGGATTAAAAAGAAATCTAAAATATCTGGAAAAGTAATAATAAGCCTTCTATTTCTTAAGGTTTCTTTTTGCGGTGCCATATTGATTCAGTTCAGTTCATATTCATTCAGTTTTACTTTTAAAACATATTCAAATATCTTTATCCTGAAATATGAATGTTTGTCCAGTTTTCCTTCTTTAATAACGTGGAAAATCCACCCAAAATATTCTGGTATACAAACAGTTATAAAACAAATGATTGTTAAATATTTGTTATTGCAGGACATATTTAATTATAAAGATCTATAGGAAAAGGATACTCTAACTTTACTAAAAACAAAGCATTTTTGCCAGCGAGGCACATTTTTCATCAAATACTTTCTCGAAAAGCAAAGCCCAAAACAATCTGGGAGCAAAGTTATAGCTCGTATACCGTTTGTATTGAGACTAAGGACATGGGCCCTGTTCTGTTCTTATATACAGGATGTCACTGCCATTCAACTGTCTAATATGAATATAGAAAATAGGATATTTGTTCTGCTGTATTTTATTGCAGAAATAATAAAGTGCCTCATTGTTCTCCCTGCAGTGCTCCAGTTTGGGTTCATCACCATCTTCGTGGCAGCGTTCCCCCTCGCCCCGCTCTTCGCCCTCCTCAACAACTGGGTGGAGATCCGTCTGGACGCACACAAGTTTGCGTGCGAGTACCGCCGACCGGTGGCTGAGCGCGCCCAGAACATCGGAGTGTGGTTCAACATCCTTGAAGCCCTGTCACACCTGTCCGTCATCGCCAACGTGAGTCCATTAAAAATGACCTTAGCACCAGACTGCAGGCTGATCACTCCTCTCAGACATTTTCTTTGTTATTCTTCTCTGTTGTCTGCAGGCCTTCCTGATAGCCTTCACATCAGATTTTTTACCTCGGCTGCTGTACCAGTTCAAGTTTGATAATGATCTCAACGGATATGTCAACTTCACCTTGGCTTACGCCCCACTTAACTACACAGAGTATCCAATGTGCAGGTACACTGTATGCTTATCTGAATGTGCCACAACTTACTGATAGACTGTAATTTTTCTTTCGTACAGAAATACATTTTACGTTATTTTTTATCTTTTTTTATATTATATGTTTATATTTTTATTTTGATCACAAATGACTTATGTCTATGACTATTTTATTTATGTTTTTTTATGTTCTTCTTAAGTTTATTGATTTTTGGAGGATCCTGGGGCATTAATGATTTGTGTTGCCACGACTTGCTATAGCTATTGTTCACATGACAAATACAACGTGTGGACCTATTCTTCAAGTGTGGCAAAAATCTGTTTGGTTGGAAATTACATATCTTGCTACTCAAGTATGTTTTGTTCTGTCCTTTTTGCTAAAATCCTTGAAAGGTTTCAAAATGTCAAACTTGTCAAAATGTCTGATCACAGACTTGACCAACAGAGGGTAGCATTACTGATGTTTCACACATTGTTTACTTTGTTGTCATGTGCTGCTGCATACACGCACACCCTGATTAAACATTATTATTCTTTTTTAATGTATTTTTTCTCCCAACTTTAGATATAAAGCGTACAGAGACAACGATGGAAACTACTCACTGTTCTACTGGGAGCTCCTTGCTGTCAGACTTGGCTTTATCATTGCTTTTGAGGTATGAAAGGAGTTGCCTTTCTCTCTATTTGTTTTCCTTCTGGCTGTTCCAGTGATTTACGGTCCACCTTTTGTTCATTTTTATCTTTCACCCACATCTCTATACAAACTTGTGCCTCTGTTCCCAGGTGCATACTGGCAACTTAGCCCTCTTTCAGTGTTTGTTTTAGTGTTTCTGTTGTATGTACTGTTTACCCATATCAGTATTCCATATGTTATTTTGCAGATGACTTGTCCTTGTTTTACTAGTTCCACACTTTTTCTGTCGTTACTGTCTCCTTCAATAACTTTTCTCAAATACGTTAAGACGCCCTATAATGCAAATGTTCAGGTTCATATTTGTATTTTGAGCCTCTACTGTGAAATGTTTACAGGTTTGAATGTTCAAAAAGCCCAGTCTTCTCTGATTGGTTAGCTGGCCAGCTCTGTTGTGAGTGGTCAACCATTCAGAGATGTCCCGCCCCTATCATGTACAATGTGTTGTAGCATTAGCTAATAGAAGTAGGGTGTTACATTGTGATATGTTACAGAAGTAAACAAAGGAGTCCAATCATTTCAGGCAGGGAGGGGGGAGAGCGTGTGGGAGAGAAACTCCCTCTGGAGGGAACACAGGGATGTTTGCCTTTGCAGACCATAAACCTATATAACACACTAGAGAACAAAAAGCTTAATAGGGCCTCTTTAATATTACTCAGTTGCATTCATTTTGGCCACTATTCCAAACAAACTGATTGTTTAGCAATTCCTCCTTCTGTTCCTCATTGTTGTTATTAACATATGCGTTCCTGGCATTCCTTAAAAGAGTCAGCAATTCTCTAAAACTACTGGGCACTGTAGTTTTATGCAGAATTACTCAGGAGTCAGATCTATTCACATTTGGTGCATAGTGACTGTTTGCGGCAGCAGGACGGTGAATGTGTAATTGACCATAATGGCGGAGCTTAAAGTAATGAGGGAAAACGTCACCCTGTACTACAGTGTGGCTCATGTGTTTGTAATCGTTTTTGGAAGACAGTGGAGCACTTTTGCATAAAAAGAAAAATAACCTTAGCATAGTCCACCATCAATAGTATGGTAATAGTATTCAAGAACTATAATCTGTCACGCCAACATAATCATTTTCTTAAATAAATATTTGCTAAAGTGACTCTTTTAAAGGATATGTTTTATGACTTTGCTCTTCCGTCTGTGGCCAGATAAAAGTACTGGAAGACAAAGTAATTACTAAGGAGGGAAATAGGAGTAATATTTCATTTTTGGCTGTCATGGGGTTTTGCAAAAAAACTGGAATTCCAGAGGTGCATTCTTGACAGGTAAAGTCAAGTCAATTTATGTATGTAGCACATTTAAAAGGAACGGGAGTTGAACCAAAGCGCTCCACAGTTGAGGCTGTGAGGTTAGAACCTGCCTCAATACAGTTTTAGGGCTATCACTTTTCACATTGAGCAGGTTTGGACTATAGGCAAGGCAAGTTTATTTATACAGCACCTTTCAACACAATTCAAAGTGCTTTACAAAAATGAAAGACATTAAGGGGCATTAAAAAACATATTATACATTTAAAAACACTAATTTCAAAGAAAAGCAAAGATAATAAAAGTTACAGTGCATGTAAATGTGTGTGTCATCCGCATAGCTATGGTAACTTATTTTGTAGTAGTCTCTAATTGACAGAGACTTAATAATGCAATACAACAGAGAGAGAGAGAGAGAGAGAGAGAGAGAGAGAGAGAGAGAGAGAGAGATATAGAGAGACTAGAATAGAGAAGATACAGACGAATATAGAGAAGAGAGAGAGAGAGAGAGTTTTCTCTCTCTCGAGATCGCTAGTCGATTCGCTTCTCTCTTCTTCTCCTGTTCTCCTCTCTCTCTCTCTAATCTCTCTCTCTCATCTCTCTCTCTGCTCCTCTCTCTCTCTCTGCTCATCTCTCTCTCTCTGCTCCTCTCTCTCTCTGCTCCTCTCTCTCTATCTCTCTCTCCTATCTCTCTTCTTCTCTATCTCTCTACTCTCTCTCTGTCTCTCTCTCTCATCTCTCTCACTCACCCTCCCCCCACTCATCCGAACAATACGACAATACACACAGACACCCACCCCATACGACATGGCAGACTACTACAGCACACAAAACCTACATACCCATACTTCCACACTAGCTGATACCACTGTGGCTTTTTTTCCAAATGTTCATGTAAGTTGTTTTTATTTTTCTCATCTGCCTCTTTTCACCCTCTTTTCTGAACCCTCTGTCGAAACCAGAACCACCAGTCTGCTCTGATTGGTTAGCTAGCAAGCTCTGTTGTGATTGGCCAACCTCTTAGAACTGTCCCTCCCCTAGCCTCTTCACGTTTACAATGTGTTGGCTTGGAGCGCCAGCGAATAGAAAGCACGAGTGTTACGTAGTTAGTCACTGTGTTACGGAAGTAAACAGGAGTCCTATGGAGGCCTTTCAGGCAGGGGGAGTGTGTGGGAGAGAAACTCCCTCTGGCGCGAATTTTAGCTTTTGCAGACAATTTACATGCGCAAAAACCTGTATCACACAGTTCAGGAAAGGGAGAACCCTAAATAACATAATAAGGCCCTTTAAAAAGAGGACTTTACACAAGCTATGGGCGAGCCTCTGATTGAACTAAAAGCAAATGAAAAACCGAGGGTAAAGTTTAAAAATACCATGGAATGATGACAATTTGTTAAAAAAAAGTCATTGGATGTCATGTCAGGCCAGGACGAAGGAAGCAGTTGTGAGGAGAGAGGAGAACATACTGTTTTCATTTTATTTATAAGTAAGTTCTATCTTCAGATTTTCGAACAGGACAGGCTGTTTTCATTTTACTCTGATAATGATCCTTTAACATTTCACTGTCTGCACGTCCTCCCTGCTCCAGCACGTGGTATTCTTCGTGCTGCGCGCCATCGACTGGATCGTTCCTGATGTCCCGGGATCCCTTGAGCTGAAGATCAAGAGGGAGCGCTACCTGGCCAAGCAGGCTCTGGCCGAAAATCAGGAGGCTCTGCTGGTGAGTCGAGGCCGAGGGGCCGCCCCTGCCTCTCCAGGCAGCTCCAGCCCAGGTCAGTAGAACATGGGACACACAAACACACACACACAATGCAGCACATACTCATACAGCAAGAGTCTCTTGCTCTGTATTTGAATATTTCAGCCAAGAGAAAGCTAATCCTCAAATGTTTTTGATGAGGGTGTACTTCATATAAGAGAATTTGAGTGTTCAAGTTCAATTATATGCAGAGATAATAGTAGTAAAAGTAATATATCAAACACATATCAAGGTTTTCCTAACTTTTATAATTTATTCTGAATAAACACAAATAATGTCCTTGTTGTTAATAATACACACTTCCTTGTGCTGTTTCTATTTATAGTAACACTCCCTTAGTTCCGTATTAGCTTGTTCACAATCACAATATACATGTTTGATGTCACGCAGTTCGTTGTTGTCTCATTCAGTCTCACCCAGGTGATCAATGAAACAAGAGTTCACAGGTTACATAGAGTGTAAAACCTGGCCCTTTTTTCTTATGTTCTCATAAATAAATTCCAGATTTTAAAGACTTTTTAAAAGCTCACCCACTCGCACACACACACACAACTCAAAGGAGCATTTACGAAGCACACACGGCTTGACTTACTGTCATAAACTTGCAACACTACACGCAACATGATAATCAATGGTAATTTCTGCGGGACCAGAGCCAAATAATGTCAGATGAATTTAATTACTTCCAAAGACCTCTCAAGGGCTGTTGGCATTGTTTACAATATCCTCTTTTAACACTTCTGTTAATGTTTAACCTCAAAACAGCAATAACACAAAAAGGGATTCATTCAAGCAGGAAGTAAACAGTAATACGTTTCCACATTTTCCACACGAGGAACACAGCCTTTACATTGACTTTTTGTCCGTTAAGAATACAGTCACATACACAGATTGTATTGTCATCCTCGTCTGTGTGTGTGTGTGTGTGTCCCTGTGCTCTGACCCATGCTGTTGTCATGTGCCTCATGTAGTGAATGTCGCTGGATGAGAAGGTGAGTATTATTATACACGTAAGTAAATGGAATTCTGAAGAACAATGACATTATTTAAATAATTACAGTGGAATGTATCAAATCAGATCATTTCTGAGTTTCTTCACGAATGTATGACTTTGTAATGTCAGAGAATGTTCAAGTGTTTATGCGAATGTACAAGTTTAATCTCTACCTTCTAAATACCCCCTCCTCCAGATCAGATAATTACAGAACGTAGCCCCTCCTGAATGACAAAGTTGAAATCAATAACACAATATTAATGTATACTGTATTTTTAAATATTGAAAAATAAATGTAATACGTAAAAAGTACATTTAGTGTAATGTTCAACTATTTAATCACACAAAACCTCAAAAACGTTGCAATTTATTTATAATATTATAAGTATTATTTTGTTATCATTATGGCTTGACCGTCTTCTTATCCTACACTTGAACTTGGCTTGTATCGATGTACTGACTGAAACTGAGAATGTGTCATTATTTGATTATTTGTAACCCTAAAAAATAAACAGAGTGACCAGATTGAACATTATTGAAAGTCTAAATGCTAAAAATGTAGATTAAATCATTACATTTTGTCAGATAAAACATTGTTTATTTTTGCTTCAATCTATTTGGTACAGCTAATACCACTCATTCACCCAGCCTTACGCTTAATATACAGTAACGGTAAGGTTTGTCATGTCTGTGTGTGAAGGTAACGCTGGACATAAGATAGCTAGCTTACCAAAAAGACTGGAGGAAGCTAGCCTGGCTCCATCTGTCCAGTATCTGTTTTCCTTTCATCTCTAGCTACATAAATGTAAAGGTACAATGCTAGCAAACCTAGCAACTCTAACACAAGTCCACTAAAACCACAAATAGTCTTGTTTACTTTTGAGAATATATTATTTAAGATACCATATCTTAATTAGTTTGCTTTACAGGTGCATTTTTAACATTGCACTGAGCTAAGCTAGCAGTTATGCTATGCTAAGCTAATCGCCTCCAGACTCGAACTCCATACTTAACACAGACATGAGATTGAAATAAATATTATTGTGTCATTCTCAGACAGAAAATAAATCACCATATTTACCAATTACTTTAAAACTAAACTAATTTAAACGATATGACTTATTGCCCAGTCCCTCAATATTAAATAAGTAGCAGCCCGCTGTGATTTAGTAGCATGTTGCAACGATTAGGTTTCTGCTTTTGTTGTATAAGTCTACAGACAGAACTAATTTCTCTCTTCCGTCTCTCTGCTCCATCCCCGTTTCTTCCCTGTCCAAAACAAACTGTACTGCACTGCACTCCTGAAGGAAGCGACGCGTCCTTTGGAAACATGAGTTAGGTCTACCATGTGAGAAACCAGTGGTTGGAGGGGATATTGGAGTAATTGAAGACACTTGTTCCCATCTGGGATAACAAGAGTGAACTTTTTCTCTGAGTGGAATACGGTCTCTGCACTGGAATCTTTCTTTTTCTTTTTTCTTCACCAATGTGTTTACCATTGCACAGAAATTATGATTAGCTGGTGTGTAATGGAGGCTAAACTAACCCTAAAGTACGTTTTCAGGTCAACCCACTACAATTGTAAGACTTGTATTCATACTAGGTGTATACAAAACATGACATACCTATACATACTAGGTTATGACCCTACAGTGACTGGGCCCTAGCCTGAGCAGACCCTATGAGAATGGAACAGTGTTATTCATTTAGTTCGATGATTCCCTGCCCCCTATTTGCTGAATCCTTCACCCATCTCTGTTTTTTGTCATGACAGAAATTAAAAAATACTGTCTAATGAAATGAAATGAAAAGCAGCCAGTGCTGTGATTAGTTGTTTTTAATGGCTAACCAAAGTTGCAGCATGAATTGTTGATGCTATATGAAGTTGTCTTGGGTCCAGTTAAAAAAAAATCACTAACACCAACATGCAGCAATGTGTGTCACAGGTGTAGAGCCAATAATAATACATGGATGTTCTATGTTTTTTTTATAAAATTCAAGCATAGTCAAAGGTCAACAATAGAGACCAGTTAAACACTGCTGCTCAGCCTGCTGTTAAGTTTATTTTTAAAGGGGCACTCCTGTGACTTAAGTGAAGTTGGTGCAATGAAGCAAAGGCTGACAGAGTCCTGGTGGGGACCAAACTTCAAAAAACGCTGGTTGCATAGAAGCTCTCATAAAATTATCATGATCTTTTAAGCAATAATACTGCATAACTGACCTTTTTGGCATTATATTAACCTGTAGTATCAAAAATACTCATTGAGGATATTATAAAAAAACAAATATTTACAGATTGATTAGCCCCTCGCTGCTTAAAAATAAGATCTGTTACAACCTGCCTTAAGGCTGGAACAAATGGGGAGGCCACACAGAGTTAAATGCCAAATATCTGTTTATTTAACAGGTTAAAGAAAAACACCTCTGATAAATAGAGTACGTAAGAATCAGACTGTCAGTAGTGTGAGCAGTGTGTGTGGGTGTGTGGAAGGGTGTTATAGCATGTTGGAGGGTGCATCAAACCTAACACAGGCTGAGGTTGCTACAGCATGCCAGGATCAGAATCAGAGACTGAACCTTGCAGCTGGGCAACCTTTATACCTTCTTGAGGCTCCGCCTCTAGATGGGCGGGCACAAACAGGACGACACTCCCAGCACCTGCCAGAGGACAGCAAGGCAGGGAGCACAGCCAGGCAGAAGGGGGGAGGGGTCGTCACAGATCTCAAACCCAATGAAATCATCAACGTTATTTCCTCAGACTTCACAAAGTCTTATTAAATGTTGAAATTCAGGGGTGCCCCTTTAAGTTCATTTTGGTTGTTTCGTTATGTGCACACTACCTTTTATCACTTAAGATAATACTGTAAGAGGGCAAAAAACAAACTTTTTTTTTTTTTTTTTAGACTCTGATTGTAAACTGTTATTAACAAACATCTGTTGTCTTCGATGTGATGAAGAACTCATGCAACTATCTAGACCTTCATGATGCAATGCAATGTAAATACACGTATACTGTACATGTTTGCTGTCTTCGGAAGATGAGCATGTTTGTGTTTTCTACTTGAACGTTCTGCAGAGTTGCATAGGGACAATTTGCTACTGTAACACACTGTAAAAAGGAGTGGAATAGTGCCTCGATGTAGGACATATTTTGTGTGTGAGCTGTTTTGCATTTAGGACCTTTTAGACCAAAATAAATGTAGTTTGATGAATGCATATGCCTCCTCAGTGTGGGATTCTGAAAAAAATGCTGATGTGTCAGCTGCTCTCACTTTGCTGTAGGGAGGAACTAAATGTCAAAGCTGAACCATCTCGACTCTTTTTTCTCCCAAACAGCAATCCAAAGAGACCTGCAGACAGGTAAAGAGGACGCTGATTTATTAGGAGTCAGACACAGACAGGTGTTCGCTGATGATTTCTCTCTTCCTCTCTCTCCTCCCCTCACTAACTACACCAATAGCTGTAGCCTCTGGCAACTCCTGACTTTGAATTGTAGCTTCCCTCCTCTTCCTCCTCACCCTTTCTTCACCCTATCCTGCACGCTCTCTTTCTATCCATTTTTTTACCCTTATTTTCTTTAATACACACTCTCTCTTTCCCTCCCTTTTCGTCTCTCTCACCTTGTGATTGTTATGATTGCTGTGCGTTCCTCTGCCAGGGCCTGCAGGAAGAGTGAGTTAGTACTTGTCAGCGAGCGCAGGTATGCACTGTGGACACCGGCTGCTGGGGCGAGGAGGAAGACGCTTGTGTGCAGGGGGGGCTGCAGAGCAAGGCTCCAGATCAGCCACAAGGTAATGATGCAGCAAACGACACTTCAATACGGCCAGAAAAATGCACAAAAACTAGTTCTTAAAATCATTTAGTCTATATTTCTGATGAAAAATGTATCATTTTTTGAGACATTCTGTAGAACTAACTGATATGTTACAAAATCATGCACATCACAATGTGTAGAATATATGCAGTCACATAGAAGACTCAAACATAGGCAATGGAAGGATTTTATCAGAATTGTATCTGGATTAAATTCCACTAAATGCTGATAATCAATAATGTTTAAAGATAACAATCCATCTGCAGATTTAAGGAAATAAACATTAGCAACAAAACAACAGCCAACAAAACAGTATATGATACCAGGATGAAAATACTTTATTGTCAGCAAGGGGCATTTTCAGCTTGGGCAACAGTGCTACGCAAGCTGCAATCACACAATACATCAAAACTCGGGAACAAAAAAAAAAAAAATATATATATTAATACTTACGCATTAAAAAAAATCAATAAAATAAACAATGACTTTTGAACAAAAAAAGGTTACACGACTGTGGCGTTTACATACTTAGGACCCCAAAGCAGAGACTGACACAAGTTAAGTTTCAAGGTGTTTTAAAAAAGAAAGCTAGGCTAAGGCAGATAGGGAGCTGGCTGGTTGCAGAAAAGTCCAAAACAAAGCAGAGGGAAAACATCCCAGGCAAAAACTCAAAAAGTTGCTCAAAAACTGCAATGTGAACAAAACTAGGCTTGGGCTGCAGAGAGTCACTCTGGATCGTCGAACAGCATTTAATTCACTGGCAGAGTAGTGAGGTGAGGGCCAGGCTCTTAAAGAGAGGGTTGATTAGGTGAGTGGGAACAGGTGTGCCTCATCTGCAGCCAGGAGAATACCAGCCACGCCCCCCTGTCACACACCAGCCCTGCAGAGACGGAGAGACAGAGTAGTGAGGGGTAAAAAGAGCAAACAACAGGAAAAAACACAACAACCAAAAAACCCATGCAGAAACATAACACACGACACCGACATAATGTCACTAAATAAAGTATGCGGAAGTCTATGAAAACATTTGCCAATTTTGAGCTTTTCTTTTACAACCAAGAGAAATGGCTTAAATAGCACATAGCCGGGATTGTTACTACAATCAAAGTGACGGATATCATTGAACACAATCATTTGATACTGTTGACATTGTTGAAATAAAAATATGTGTTGCTTTAAGGCTTACTGGCGACTCAAATGGGGAAAAGCTGTTCGGCCAGCTACTCAACACTCTCCTGTAGTGTGTTCTATAGGTTTGTGTGCGTGTAAATGGTCTGCAAAGACCACAAATCCTAAAGGAATTTCTGTCCCCCACATTCCACCTCCTGAAACGCCTAGTGACATCACTACGTAATACCTGCGCTTCTATTGGCTATCGCTCCAACACATTGTACTTGATAGGCTAAGGGACGGGACATCTCTAAGCAGTTGACCAAACACAACAGAGCCAGTCAGCTAACCAATCAGAGCAGACTGGGCTCTGGTTTCGGACAGAGGGTGAAAAGAGGTGCTTCAACACAGGCAGTATGAGGAAAATAAAACATTAAAGCATGGAGACATGCCACAGTAGAGACACAACATACAAATATTAAACAGAAAATTGTATTTCTTTGTATAGCATAACCTGTCCCATGTTAATTAGTTTCCGAAAATACAATTTTATTTTACACTATATATTATAACAACAACAAATATATATATATATATATATATTATAAATTCTCTACTGGGATCAGTATTGCTCTGAACCCTTTAGTCTTCTAGTGTCCTTTTTATAAAAATGGGCACCATTAGACAACACAGCTGTGTAACATAGTGTCCCGAGGTAACCCCACCCCCCCCATTATTTTCATGTTTGATTAGTGAACATAGTTGATACAGCAGCAATCAGAGATCACCACAAGCGATGAGAGAGCATGCCATAGCAGCTTTTTTCTGTCAACAACTCACTGACTGCCGTTAGTGTAAGTTGCACTAAAACAAAGGCATTTCAAACAGTGAATCTGCACACACATTTATGCAAATACATATACAAGTACAAAGACTAAAATGCACATGTGCACTTTTGCATATAGTGCTTGTTGTACATGCACACCTCACATTCATACAACACCAATCCATGAACACACACAATGCTTTCGCTGATAAAGCGCACACTCCCACCAAGGAGCAACATTTTTCTCTCCGAGTCTGTCTGCTCCCTCCTCTCTGTGTCTCTTTCTGTCTTGAAGCAGGTGCTGAAATGAGACACTAAATAACTATTAGGAGTTAGAGGAAGGGCGAGAGAGGGGGAGGAGAATGAGAGAAAATGAGAGAGCACTTCCCCAACAGTAGCAGAGGGAGGGAGGGAGGGAGGGAGCGAGAGGGAAGGGAGAGCAGAGGAGCTTAGAGAAGAGATCTGCATTGTAAGTAGCTGTGAGAGCAGCAGCAAGTGGTGGCTGTTCTCAGCCTGTTTTTGTTTTCCCAGAGGGAGGCGGCACGGTGAACAAGAACAAGGAGAAGAACCGGCCAGAAGATTTTGAAGAGTCTCAGCTGAGTTAGAAAACAAAGACACTGAAGGAGAGGAGGAGAGGGAGAAGGTGGCGAGGGAAACCGGGAGGAACACAAGGCAGCAATGGATAGCAGAGTGGCTCAGCCTGACCCTGGGATAGCTTGGATTCACACACAGCTGCTGGCTGCCGGCCAGCACACACACTAGGCTGCTAACACCAATGAGGTACAGTACTCACAAATCTGAGGATTTCTGCTGCTGAGTGAAAGTTGAGCTGTGTACGCCTGAGAGTGCTTCGTGTGGTGCACTTGGGTCAAAGTAGTGTTCTGCAGGTTGTCAGGTGCACTGCATTTATCTGACAGCATCTGAAAACAAAGCTATGAGAGCATGAAACATTTATCAGGACTGCTGTTTGCCTGCAAATTGTTTTATCTAACTAACAAATCAATCTTTTTAAACACATCACTTCAACACATGCATGTGCAATGCAGTGGACTACAGGATTAAATCTGACAGTTTTACCATTGTTCTCCCTTTCATGAAACACAAAACCAAACATAAGTGTATGCACATGTCCTGCCAGTGGGATGATTTTCCTCACTATTCATATATTCAGTTGGAAGTCTTTGCTGCTTGCATCGATGAATGTTTCCTGCAGCTCCCTAGGCGAGTGCACACTGAGCTGAGCCCGGATTGTGATGGTTACAGTGCAGCAGTGAGCTGTTGCAGAGCGGGGCAGGTAAGTGCATGTCTGCAGTATGTCGGATGAGGGGTTGTTAAAAACTGTACTGGCTGTTCTCCTTTTCAAGGGACGCTTTAGCCTAAGAACACCTGACAGAGCCTCAGGTAGTTAAAAGAGGTGTGTGTGTGTGTGTGTGTGTGTGTGTGTGTGTGTGTGTGTGTGTGTGTGTGTGTGTGTGTGTTGTGTGTGTGTGTGTGTGTGTGTGTGTGTGTGTGTGTGTGTGTGTGTGTGTGTGTGTGTGTGTTGTGTGTGTGTGTGTGTGTGGTGTGTGTGTGTGTGTGTGTGTGTGTGTGTGTGTGTGTGTGTGTGTTGTGTGTGTGTGTGTGTGTGTGTGTGTGTGTGTGTGTGCACATGAACATGAACATATGTGCGTTTCCTGGAGGCAATAGCCAGTGGTTTTCTTTTTCTTTTATGGTTAACTCATGTGGAGCCTACAACTGAGCGTTTACACAACTTCACGAGGGTTAAGCAACATTGCATTTATGACTTACAGCAGGCGGGTACTTCTTCTCAGCATGCCAGTTGTGACACATTTCTGTAACCCATTACCACCTAGACCTAAAATGGTTATTTGATTAACTGAGAAGAGAGAAGAAAATATTTTGATGATCAACTCATCTTTTCATACATACATTTTTCAAGCAGAAAAAGTGAAACAATTCTAATATTCTCTTATCTTGGCACCTACAGTCTTGCATATCATTTTAAACAAAATATGTTTGCGTAATTGGACTCTTGACAACACCTGGGGACTGTGCGGCTCTGTGAAGTTGATTTGTGACTATATTCCGTTGACGCTTTATTAACAAAACAAATGACGATTTAATAAATAGTCAACAGTTAATAAATAATAAAAGTAATGTGTGGTTGCAGCCTTTCCAGCTTCCAGACTTTTTTCTGGACATCTTCCAAACTCCATCAGGGCTGAGGTGACGGCTGCCCTTTCTGTCTGCCGTCCCGATGACTCAGTGTATTGTCATGCCAGTTGACTGCTGCTGTTTGTACTGAGAGTCTGTAGGTAAATATTTTGGCTGCAAATAGACAGCTGTGGGTGTTTTCTTGGATTATCTGATTTACTATGGTATGTCTGGACTGGAACGCACCACCGGGCGGACGTGTAGCAGCATAAATCAGGACCTTGAACCTTTATTATAGGCTGGAGATCCCCTGTGCGATGGCTGACTTCTGATAACAGTTTTTCTGATAAATCTTAACACTGAGGGAAAAAAGAAGATTTATGATTGTGATTTAGCTGAGTTAATGTCCTGCGAGCATATTCCTGTACATTTAATTTCTCTCTGCATGTTACATTACATTACATGTTGCTTGTTAGACGCTTTTATCCAAAGCGTCTAACATACTGTGGACAATCCCCACAGGAGCAATTTGGGGTGAAGTGTCTTGCCCAGGGACACAACGACATGCTGACTGCAGTGGGGTTTGAACCTGTGACCCCCTGATCTGAACACCAACACACTATTCCATTGCGCCACACGCCTCCCTGCTTGTCTGCTCATATCACACACAGGTTTATAACTCACCACATGGCCCATCCCTCATCCTACTTCCTCCCTCCCCCCATATGTCTGGAGAGCACCTGCCCCATCACCTGCCTCCCAGACAGCCACTGTCTGCGTATGCATATGGTGTGGGGAAGCGTCCCAGGATGCCACACCTTACCCTTTTCTCAAAGCCCCCAGGAAGTGAGCCGAAACTTTAGTTGGCCAAACTGTGATATTACAACTTCCATGCCAGTCATTGAATTACTTTTTACCATTGACTTAGCTAGCTACCCAATACTAACTCTTGAATAGCCATAATATAAACCATTGTGTCCTTAAAGTCATAAAAAGTGCTTCAAGCCGAATCCAGTGGAGGCGGGGCTTAAAGAGGATACATTATGCTCTATAATGTATTGTAATGTCAGTCTGCTCTGATTGGTTAGCTGGCCGGCTCTGTTGTGATTGGTCAACCACATAGAGATGTCCCGCCCCTTAGCCAATCACATGCAAAGCGCTAACCAATAGAAGCACGAGTGCTACATAGTGTTGTTACTATGTCACAGAAGTAAACAAAGGAGTCTAATGTGGGCATTTCAGGAGTGTTGGAGAGAAACTCCATCTGGAGAGAACTGTTGGATTTCATCCTCTGTAGACCATCTACATGCACAAATACCTATATTACACACCCAAAAAGGGAACACCCCAAAAAGCATAATAGGCCACGCAGATGCGCATGCTCTCTGAGTCCAGATCCCAGATCATACTGACATTCTTGTCCTCAAGTCAGGCCATTTTTGGCTTCCTGTGTCACTGAGCAATGTTCATAGGAATGAACCTATGGGGAGGCCCCACCTCCAATGCTGTATCCATTTCTCTTTGTACATCCAGGCTCTTTTCCCACAACCTATAATGCAAATGGTACCTTTGCGTCTTACAGTGTTTGCACTTAACTTTTTTCTTTCCATCACTTGGCTAAAATCATTAGGCACCATTGAATAAAGAAACCTGCACTTTAAGCATCAGTGATACCAATTGTTCGAGGAGGGCCTGTCACTTTCCAAAACTTGCGTGCAAAATTGCAGCGTCCTTAATAGCCCATAATAGCAGCCCTTGCTACTTCACGTGCATAGTGGAGCTGCTTTGTTTGTCGCCTGCCTCGATTTAGTGGTCAATTTCAGAGGAATGAGCGTGCGAGTCATCCGGGGAATGTGGAATTGTATCTCTAAAGTTGGATGTGAACTTGTCTTGGCTATAAAAGAGACCACCTACTGAGTAAAACCCTGTGCATTCACCTACTAATAATACCGTAATGTGGCTGCTTTGATTTGTTTAAGATAAGTTGATTTTCTAAGACAAACAAAGAGCTCTACCCCACTTTTAAGGCAGCAGTGCACAGGCTCTGTCACTTATTGGTTAATCTGCGTGTCAGAGAATACTTGGCCCATGCATGAAGGTTGAAACAGCCGAAACTGGAGCCCAGAGGCGATGTGTGCCGAGCACGGCCCCGGCTGAGTATCTGCACACCTGTCTATCACTGCAGCCGCAGGTTATTGTGACTTGGCCAATAAGACGCTGTGTGTGTTTCACATTAGTACTCATGCGAGATTATAATTTTCTGGACCAGAAGGCGCTTTTTTGCTTTTAAAAATGTGGGTTTTCTTTGCCTCTTGCTGTTCTGGAAACAAAAGCAACTTTGTTTTCAGTCGTTTAGCTTTCTTTTAATTCATGGAGTTCATCTTGATAACGCTGCTGCTGTTCTGAGTTTGTTTTGAACAGTTGTTTAGCTTTGGCTCTGAACTAAAGTGGAATCATTTCTGGATGGTCAGTTGTTCAGCTGTGTTCCACTTTTAGAAGATCACGTTTCAAAACAACGAGCAGCCCAGTCAGTGGACGGCTTGTCTGTACCTGTCCACATAATAAAAGCAAGAAGTAGGGTGCAGGAGAAGGAGGGTGAGGGGTGAGGAGAAACTGCTGGTGCACAGCTGGGGGAAAAGTGGAGCAGAGGGCTATAAACACGGAGAGGAAGGGAGCGCGAGTAAACACAGGAGCAGCTGAATGTATCAGCAATTTGTTGTAAAGTGGGTCAGCCGCTCGAGAGCCCAGTGGTGAAGGATCACATTGGAATCAAAGTGCTTGATTGACAGTTTGAGTACAGCCAACCAACACGTCTTCTTTTTTAATGAATTTCAACCAGAAATTTAAAAACCTGGAAGGAAACGAATTGCTTCATCAGCAGAAAAATAATTGCCGGTAAGTTTGAGAATGGATTAAAGGATGAGGCTTGACACTTTTGATTTATGACCGACTCAAGCTGTTAAAGGAGGAGGTTGGGGATATTATATGTTTCCTTAAGTCCCACAAAATCAACAATGCATAAGACCGTCCCTTAATACTTGCTTCATCCCTACTCTGTCTTCGGCTCTCAGCTCCAAGTCCATTGGTTCCTACTAACAACATAAAAGCATCACAAGCTAAGATTCACTGCTGTTGTTTTTTATACATATTTAATTTTTCTAGTACTACTTTTGGCTGCGGAGTAATACACATGATGTGCTCTTTGGAGTATGTACAGCAGCAGGATGTTGTATGGAGGATTGACTGAAAATAATGTACAGTGTGTTTTCATGGTAATGAAGGAAAATGTCTCCACTGCACCAGTGTGTGCATTGATGTGAAGCTTTTTTGGACAACAATGGAGCTCTATGCCACAGACGATTGGGTTTTTGGTCATTTCATGGGAAGGGTTTAGCACAAAAGAAATATAGAAAATCACCATTCTCACCCTATAAATCTTGATGTGGTTTTTCAACCTAAATTGCCAAAAAAGTTGCTATTTGCTCAGGAATAGCTTCTTAAAAAAGACATCACCCTGGGCTCTGTAATAAAAAAATTAAAAAATTCACCGACTAAATTACAGCAAACATAACCCTTACTTGCGGGACTTAAAGTGTAAGTATGCCGTCCTTTGATACACTTTATAC